TCGTTCGAATGGTGTAAGCAGCAAAGCCATCACCCCCCTCCCCCCCCCCACAACGAACCACCCACCACCCCCCGCAGGTGGGCCGTCAAACGTTCAGTAGGCCAGCCAGAAATCGCTTCGAACCCGCTGTCACGTTTGCCGCTCACGTTTTCCCAGCAGCGCTGCTTCGAACAGGTTGCATGTTGCATCGGGGTCTGTGTGCCAGCGTAACACTTGGAAAATGGGGTTTACCTGGTAGGTGGCCGACTGCGAAGGGGGCGAATGCGTGGGGTTGGGGGAGAGGTACGACCTGATTGGCGCACTCTCAACTCCGGTGACGTCCACCGTTGCTGTGGTAATCATCATGTGGCCTGTTTACTCACGTTGCACAGCCATTGCAGAGGGAAAACCAGCAGCAGCAGCAGCAGTAACAGCAAATGCAACAAAAGCAACCAACAGAAACAGAAACCCAAACACGTCCATGGCTGGCGGGAAAAGCGGAAAATTCTTTGACGCGCTTTTCGGGGTCAAGTTGGTGGGAGCGTCATGGAAAATTTACCCGAAAGATGGTGGAGATTTCTAGAAGAAGAAAGGGATTCTACAATTTATAATTTTTATGATTATTATCTCTTTAAAAACGTACGCCAATTTTAATATTCTGATATAAAATATTCTATTCATGAAGCCGTTATAACAATACATTTTTAAAAATTCTAATTTTGAGATAATCATTATCTTAAAAATAAAGCATAAAAAAACATTAACAATCTTATGCAAAAATGTATTTTAGGATTAACTATGCTCTAAATCTATATATCAGTATTATTTTTAACCATCAGTTTATGTCTAGACATTTTTGTTCTAATAGTTAATGGCCAGCAAATTGAGTACAAACAGTGAAACAAATCTATTTGTCGTTCGTCTCGAATTTAGCTGTTAAACATGTCCAGCAATAGTCGAACTTCATGGGTCGCTGGAACAATATAAACTTTTGCACTTGACGAGTATATATTTACACTCGGTAATCAAACAAAATGCAGCGAATGAGCAATCGAATCACATTGCGATAATTACATAATCATCGCCTGGACGACTGATCAGTCCAGAACAGAACAGAACAAAGAACCAGTCTCAATGTAAGTCAACATTCAATAATAAATTAAAAAATATATTATTTAAATGCAGATTTCATCATACATACATTCGTGTTTATTATATAAGAATGTGGACGATTACCATTCGTGCAGAGGGTATATTTGAATTACAAATATCAAATGTCAACGTTGTAATATGGGACACAAAATAATAAATAATACCGAATACATTAAATATTAACGATACAATAAAGTTGATTAATTAAAATGAGTAATTTTATGATCCTAAACATTGAATGAATTTTTTTGTTTTAATAACATGGACTTTAATCGTCTGTTACAGGGCTGTTTATCTTCTAACTCGAGTGCATTTCCTAGAAATTTATTTTCCTAAACGACCTATGCCAAGATTAGAAATAGTAGTCAACAAAAACTGTCTGGCAGATAATATTTACTACGAATTTATATATTGTTTATCCATATTGGCTGGGATTTATTACTACCAAATTACTTCAGATATTTCTTTTAATTAATAAATTCGTATACGTAAGTATACCCAACATATAATGATATAATATAATACAACATATAATATAATACAATAACATGATATATTATTCTTGAAAATTCAGAGTATAAATCTAGTCATTGTTTTCCCATTTTAATGGGTAACTTCTACTGTAAGAATTACATACTGTGACAATTACAACCACAATTACAGCAGCGGCACAATTGCGGCGAGCACGTTGCCAGGTAACAACAAAAACCTTTGGCGGATTGAAATCAATGCAATGTGCAAAAAAAATATGTACTTGCGAAGATTTGCATTTTTTGTATTCGGAATGAGCCCCCTGCAGGCCGCGCACAAAGGGGGTGTTATGGAAAAAATAATATTATTATGGCAAGGAGCTGGACCAATAGCAGTACAGTAGTACATCCTTAAATAGAATGAGTTAGGATTCTAAAAATTATAAATGTCCTGAGGGTGACGTTACTGGAAAAGGTCTTATAGAAATATACGAAAGGTGAAGCTAACGTCAACGTGACGTATACGCGATATTACGTATACGAAATATTACTCATACGCCACCATGTTTTAAGCAGGAATTTGTTTTCTAAAATTCGATAATTTATTTATAATTATTGGTATAAAATGTTAATGCAGATTGCATTTTTCAACTGGTTGTGATGGAAAAAATTCACTTGCTTAAATACAATTAGATAATATTTTAAATTTATGATGTGATTGAAGTATTTATATTTTGGATAATTTTAAGCTTTAATTAAGCCAATTCTCTTAGACCAAAATACAGTTTGGCGAAGGACCACTGTAGCATCTCGACAATTCTAAAAACAAACGCAATAAGTGGGAAACACGTTAATTTCCATTTGGTTTGCGTAGCCGCCGACTCGAGTCGCCAACATGTGAGCCATGGCAGGCCGGCTGTTCGGGAGCGTTGCACTAGCCGCCGCTGCCTCACATTACGCGACACGTGACCGCTCCGCCCGATTCTCGATTCTCGAGCGGCAAGCTGCGAATGGCGAACTGAGAACCAAGAATAGGGAAGGGGGAAAGAGGGGAACGGGGAAAGTCGAGCGTCCAGCGGCGAACGTCGAGTCAGCGCGCACGCCTCCGGCTATGAAATATAAATAGCGGTGCTATAACTTGACTACTGATGCAGTGAGGTGGGGTTCTTGGGGGGTGTCTTGGCTGGAGGGGTGGAAGGGGTGCAGGTGGCATACGACGTCGGGGTTTCGTAACCGTTTTCGGCTTTCCACTGCACTTTTCCTCCCTCGTCTGATTACCTTTTGCCAGGGTACGTAAACAAACCGACGCAGATGAGTGTTTGGGTTGTATGTTAGCTGGAAACACCACTAAACAGCATTTGATAAGGGAACCATTATACATTTGCATACTGATAATGGATGTGCTGGAGATTACTATAGGGGCTATCCCAAAGGGGGAGGTCGGGGGTCTGGCTCTCCAGCCGGCGGATGTGAATACGATTGGTCGGGACACGTGAATCGGGCGACTCACGTGGATATCGCCCAGAGATCGCGTAGTGATCACGTAACTGGGATTTGCTCATGATCAACAGTAATCAGTAATCATGGAACTGTGAACTGCATGCTGGTATTGATCTTAATGCTATCCGGATTGCACCAGTTAGGCTTTTAGCTATCAATTCAAATATCGTTATTTTTTATGGGGATAGGTCAGTTATGTATAATTATTAAAATGAAACAAATTATTAATAATTTAAATAAAACATTACAAGCTCTTTGAAACCTGTTTACATCAAGAAAATAATTCTCATCTCAATAATTGTAACAATTCCAACAAAATAATTCCTTTTAAGAAATATATCTAGGAATTAAACATAAAACCTCAAAGATTTACATAATGGTCAGAGAACAAAGCGATAAAGATTTTCCTGCTCCAAGAATAGCCCAGAAAAATCATGAAAAGATAAAGCGCATTTTTTGTATTGCACTTTATCAGCATTTATGTACATATGTGGTTCCATAAATTTCTTCCAGCATTTATTTTACTGCGGGCGTAAAGTGAATTGCTTAATGGCATTCTGTAATCACTTTTGAGAAACACCTTTTGACGCAAATTCATTAGAATTCATTCTTTCAATTCGATTCGCTGTTTGTTCCTCATTTGTGTTTTAGTGCCAGTGACCAGGAACTTACATAATATCTCCCGACCTTACTATTTTTACAATGAGTTTGCCCAGTGAAGTGGCAGTGTTTGTATTCATAGCAGTTCTTCTGTTCTTTTCTTTGTATTCAGCTGCATTTAACGTGATAGTTTCCATTCTGATAACCCTATCGCAGCGCAAAGTGCTTAATTATGATTTATATAAGCTGTGAAGTAGTTTTGTAATGGCTCACCAGACAGTTTGGTGGCTGCAATGATAGTGGCCTGACCATATATTTACCGTTTCGAGATATCCAAAGTTGCAAAGCCACGTGATCAATCAATAATGGGATTTTTTAATTGTATGCTGAATTTCCAAGCTAAATAGCACTTGGCATAGCTACTGTTTATGGGTTTAACAATAAGTGTTTAGTCTACTGAGTAATTACCATATCTGAAAATGTTTGCAAATAAAGCAGGGGAAAACACCGAATTTTTGAGTGTTCGGAAATGTTAATTTAAGGATATATTATTAAAAAAAAAATTTCGTTAAAAATTGTTGAGATTGTTTAATAATTTTTTTAATTCAAAAAATTTTAAAATGTATTTTAATATGTAAGTACTTTTAAGGTAAATGTTCTAAAAAATTAAAAAAGTAAAAAGTCTTACCTAAACTGTTTTTCAATATTGGTTCTCCGAGCTCCAAAGCTATTTGCATCTGTGTATGTAAATGCATTCTCGATTATTAATAATGTGCTGGTTCTCTGAATATTTTGTGTAAGACGCTTGCGTCACCAAGCCAACTGGCACACACACACACACACAAAATCATACAGAGCAATACGGAGAATCAGAATGGGAATAAGAATCCGAATCAGAATCGAAATCGGACTCACGCGGCCAAAGCACCTCAGTCACCTTACGTGTGTTTGCCAGTGTGTGAGTGTTTGAGCGTCAAGAGCGACGCCCCCCTACCCCAGAAACCCCCCAACCCCTCGCTCTCGGGCAGGCAATCACGTTCTAGTTTCAAATGTGCAGCTCAAAACGAATTTTTTTTCAGATTGCCCGCTGATTACTCAACAACGGCAATGTGATCGCTTGCAACAACAAAATGTTCGAAGGTTCGATGTTGGGGCTTGAGAAATTTCACTTTTACTCCATAAAGAACCCAAAGTCGCCAACAAGTTCGAACATGTTCGAAGCAACACGGATTGGTCGCGTGTAGCGGATGCGTGTTGCCGCAACGTGACCGTCGAGCAGCTCGTCGGAGAAATGCTTTTACAAATTCAATTGCGATTCAGCCTTCTTTCGAAGCGGTTCAGGCGCTCGCGATAAGACCCCATATATATGCTATACTATATAGCCGATCCACACAAACAGTCAAAGCGATTCGCGATAAAAGCACTACCAAGTGAGAGCCCGTCAAAGTCGTTAAAAGCATTTCGGCCAAGTGCACCAACCGCAGAAACGTCGCGTTAGCCAACTAACTCAGTACCCCAAATAAAAAACAGAAGTGTTTCAAAAACAATTTCCCAAAAATATTAAATATTTTGCGGAATAAAAATACAAACAATGCCAAAAGCGTCTTAACCCAGAAAACATTATGTCGATTGTCTGCACGCTGGAACAGAAAGTGAACTTTTTCAAAGCGGCTGCAACGACCAAGAATCTGTTGATACTCAAAAACAATACGGATACCAACTACAGTAACTACAAGGATAACACCAGCAACAGCAAATGTAGGTGTTGAGTGCAAAAAATAATAAAACTATTTTAGTGCATTTAAATAATATACAAACTCTAAAAAACATTTGTATAACATGATGATTAATTTTTGAAATTTAAATGTTATTTGGATAATACATAAATGCCAGAGAGACGATTTCGAGATTTTCGAGCCGATCTCAAAATATCTAAATGTTATTTAAATACAGAAATCTAGAATATAAATCAAATTATAGCAGATGCACATATCCGAACGATATAATAAATCAAATAGTTTCAAGTTCCTTTGTTTTTCTGCGTAGTAAAATAACAAGAGTTAATCAGTTCTAGAATATTTACTAAACTTAATCGGTGAAAAACAATAACACACGATGATTGAAACGCAAAACAAAAATTCCCAAAATGTTTGGGGCGTCGCGGGGGTGTTTTGGAGAGAGGGGTGATTGGCGGAGCTTAGTCATTTTGTTTTTGTGAATTTTGTCAAGACGCCGACTGCAGCGCTAGTCTCTCTCACTCGCCCTCTCTCTTGCTCTCGCGCTTAGGGGTTGCCGGCAGCTGCGAAGCCGGCGTAGGCGTCGACGTCGGCAGAGTCTGGCACACACACACAGTGTTTGGCGAGTGTGTCTGCGAGCACATTGAACTGTAAATGCCAATTCGATGGTCATGGTGAGGGTGAGAAAAAAGAGAGTGGGGAAAAGAGCGTGGGGGCAAGGGGGAGCACTTACACACAGATTTGCAATGTGCGATTTCTTGTTTACGTTCTGTTTCTTTGCGTTGGTGTTGGTGTTGGTTCTTTTCGCCTTTGTCGTCTAATTCTCGCGCTCTCGCTTCCTCTCATTCTCTCTCCCTCGGCAATTCTTGCATCATTGGCCGTAATCATTGTGTAAATGCCTGCGCTAAAAACGAAAGCAAACGGTAAAGCTATGGCCGAGGGCAATAAGCAAGGGCAAGGACCATCGAACAAAGAAAGTTTTCTGTGTGTGTGCGTGCGTCTGTTTTGGCCAGACAAGATCGCATTAGACGTTTTGGGGACCCAACGGATTGTTCATTGAGTGGCGGACCTCTTTTCATTTTGTCAGCTTATCAGGCCTCTAACCTGATTAAAATTACTATATATATATTCTATAGGTGACACGGGCAGATAAGAAAATTTGAAAGAATTGCCATAAATATGTGATAAGTGCAATTGTTATGGTAGCAGGAAAGAGATATTCTGCGCAATCTTAGATTTCGATTGGGAGCAAGGTTTTGTTTGTTTATTATTTTTCGGGGGTGGCGCAAAAAAAAATGTAGTGTGCTTCTAGGCGTAGGAATTGAGTAAGCTATGTAGGAATTATAAATAAAAATGTTAAAGAACAATAAATTAGTTTTAATTTGTAGTCAAAAACAAAGTTACTTACCAGTCCGTTTCTTTATTTCCATTGCAGTTCCCCGAATCCAGCAGCAGAGCAACCCAAGCCACCTGCAACAGCAGCAGCAGCTGCAGCAGAAGCTAGCGCAGTTGCAACACTTTCCCTACGGGCCACGCCCCCACACCGGAGGCAAGGAGGAGACGCTGCTCCTGCTAGCACCGCCGGCCAAGTTTTACCCGGAGTCAGCGGGCCCAACAGCAATGCCCGAGGTCCTCAGCGGCACGCCCACCAACAGCCACAACAAAGCCAACATCGCCATGATGAACAACGTCCGACTGTCGAACATATCGCCGACTTTGTCGATGAACGGCAGCTCCAACGAGGCAACTAATTGTAAGTTCCCCAAAGGCACCTAAACAAGTAGTTATATTACACCGGAATAAATATTAGTTACTTATTCAAAAAAAAAAAAAAAAGAATTTTAAAAGTCATGAATTGAAATAAAATTATTTTTTTGTGAATGAATAAATCATTTATATAATGTTTGAAAACTAAACTTCTTTTATCTTTTCTTGCAGTGCATCCCCTTTCCATGTACGGAGGCTCCATCAGTCCGCAGTCGAATGACAGCGGCATGTCCGACAGTCTGGGCAAGTTTGTCCCGGGAAGTGGCTATGGAGATGGGATGATGGGCCAGTCGCCCTCGCAGGGAGGCAATGGACCCCAATCGGCGTTGACTGCCGCACAGAAGGAGCTCTTCTCGCAAAGAAAGCAACGGGAATTCACGCCAGACAACAAAAAGGACGAGAGCTACTGGGATCGGAGGAGAAGGAACAACGAGGCGGCCAAGAGGAGCCGGGAGAAGAGGCGCTACAATGATATGGTTTTGGAGCAGCGGGTGATCGAACTCACCAAGGAGAACCACGTGTTGAAGGCCCAACTGGACGCCATCAGGGATAAGTTCAATATCTCCGGGGAGAATCTGGTCAGTGTGGAGAAGATACTGGCCTCCCTGCCCACCAGCGAGCAGGTGCTGAGCAACACAAAGCGGGCCAAGATGAGCGGCAGTGGCTCCTCATCCGGTTCCTCACCAGCGGGCAGTGGATCCGGTGAGGGATCCCCGCCAGGTGGCCACAATGGCTATCCGGTGGGTCCTCCACTTTCTCCGCTGATCTACGGACCCAATGGCAATGCCCGAGTGGAAGCCACCGTGAAGAGTGTCCACCATGTGCAGCACGCTGGAGTTCCGCCTCCGCCAACGCACCTGCAACAGTTGGTGGTGCCCCAACCTCAGCCGCAGCATCTCTACCAGCCACAGTCGCAGCAGCAGCAGCAGCAGTCGCATCAGCCGCACCAGCAGCAGATTCCCCAGCCGCAGCAGCAGCAGCAGCAACAGCAGCAGCAGCAGGAGCCTAGTCCCAGTGGCGGTTCCTCGTCGCCAGCCATCTCCGATCCGCACAACCGCCCGCCCAGCAGCACCATCGCCAATCTCCAAGTGCAACTGCAGCAGGCGCTCAACCGAAATGTGCGACCCGAGGATCTGGACAGCCTGCGCAAGGCGGTGGCTGCCGGAGCACTCTACAATGCAGCCGCCGTGGTCGGAGGAGGAGCTCCACCACCGCCACCGCCGGCTGGTCTCTATGTGCCCGCTCCCAGCGCCTACAAGGATCATCTGGAGGTGGCGGCCGCCGCCTGGAGTCACAACGTGGAGGCAGCCGTGAGCAGCAGCGCCGTGGATGCGGTGAGCAGCTCATCCGTTTCGGCCAGTGCCACCAGTGTCCTGAATCTTTCCCGCCGCGCCTGCTCGCCCAGCTACGAGCACATGCTGTCCTCCACCACCTCCTCCACACTCTCCTCCGCCTCCTCGTCGGGCGCTGTTTCTGGGGATGATGAGCAGGAGCACGAGCCCGCTCCTCTCCAGCTCCAGCGGAGCAGTCCGCAGCAGGGCAGCGATGCCAACAACTGCCTGCCCCTCAAGCTGCGCCACAAGTCCCACTTGGGTGACAAGGATGCGGCGGCCACGGCGCTGTTGTCCCTGCAGCACATCAAGCAGGAACCCAACTGCAATCGCGCTTCGCCACCAGCTTGGAACGATGGCGGTGACAACTCCAGCGACGAGAGGGATTCGGGTATTTCCATCGCCAGTGCGGAGTGGACGGCGCAGCTGCAGAGGAAGCTGCTGGCGCCCAAGGAGACCTCCACTGTGGTCTCCAGTGCCGAGCGGGATCAGCTGCTCAAGTCGCAGCTGGAGCGCTTGGAGTCCGAGGTGGCCAGCATTAAGATGATCCTGGCGGAGTAAAGAAACCGCCAAAAGAAGGAGCAGTGAAGTGGGATCCAGAGGAGGATCATGATCTAAATCTGAATCTAAATCCGAATCTGGATCAGGAGAGAGAGCGAAGAGACAGAGACCTTGAGAGGATCAGTAGATGGCAGAGCAGAGAGTTCCATGGCGCCAGTAGTTCTCCTGGAGGGAAGAAACCTTTAAAGTATATATTATATATGGGAGAAGTCCAAAACAGAGTGTTAACTATCGGATATCAAAGCATACTACTCTATATCTCTATGTATAACTCTGTGTGTATGTTTATCTATCCACTGTATTTGAGTCTTGTAATCGTAAATGTTTAACTATATAGATCTCGTCAAAAAACTCGGAGCTAAACAAAATCCTTAGGGTCTTCGGACCGAAAAGAGTTTCATATTTAACCTGTTTATAAACAAACACGCTATTCGTTTGCAAAAGCTGACAAAGGTGACCCCGTAAAACTTTGGGGTGACCCCAAAAAGCTTTTGTTCTCTTATGCATCCCAAGTTTCCTTATGCACAGCGAAAGTGGAGAAAGATGAAATATTATATATTCGTAGGCAAAAGTTACCAAGTATTTGCTGTTGTACATATTACACAATTAATTATACTTACTATTATTATTATTATTCTATTATTCCTATCGTGTACATAATTTTAGTTGCAAGCTAAGCTTATTTTATTTTATTTTATACTATTGTGTAGTAAAGCAAACATATACATTACACCTAAGCGTATAGCACATTCAAAGCGTGAGAGACGAAAGAAATCTGAGAAAGAATCAATGAATATATATTCTGCAATAAATAATTTTAAATATAATACCTTAATGTTTGTCGTTCTCAATTTATTTATTGTTTGCTGCTTTGGTTGCCCGTGTGGGTCACAGCGCTTTAACTAAATGTTATCGAAGTTTAAGAAACTTGAAAAACGTAAACAACTAAATAAGAGAAAACCCGAACAGAATCACACAAAAAACACACACTATATATTTGTAGAGCATATAGTAGATCGATCCGAGACGTATTGGTGTCGTAGAACGTAGTCCATGTGAGAGCGAGCATTCACTTTTAAAGTTGTATTAATTTTATGCCAATCACTGTATCCAAATGCTAAAGCATTACACTTTACACTAGAAGGCAGTGAAGCACACAAGAAAATACATATGATTATTACTATAACTATGCGTACGCAGCAGCCCCTATCTATATGAATATTTAAATAACTCGTTTGTGTTGATCAATGAAAATAAAACTATTTATAATGATGAAAGAAACTTACAAATGCCTTTTACTGCTTACTTTTTTAGGGGATTTTTTATTGCAATTTCACTGTTGTCAACCGCTTGAGGAAAAAGTTTCCGTTTTTTACGACTTGCTAAAGGTGATTCATGTTATTATCGAAAACATCAGCAAAACTAATTAGAATTGCAACTGTAATTGTGACTTAATCTATTACAGAGCTTTTAAAAATATTACATCATCTTTTCACCAGCGGTTAACGTATTACAGCATTTACGAGGGTAGTTACAGAAGTTCCTCCCCTACAGATCTTAAAAAAAGTAAGTAAAACATCCATTTTGAGTGGTAAAGAGATTATTTATTCTTAATGACGTTGTTGCCTTGTACTTGTACAACGAAAAAAGTTTTGAAAATTTAAATTTATTTAGAATAATATCGGGTGTATGTCACTAATTTCGATTTCGATTTCGTTTTTGTTTTTATCATTATTCGAAATACAGTATAAGTATAATAATTAAATATTCTCTGTCTTTATAATAAATCCTTAAACATCACATGAAAAGTTTTTGTTGTTGTTGGGTTTCCTTTCTCGTTAATAAGTTTCAAATACTTTCTATCCGTTCTTTGGTATCATTTTCATTTTCCAATCGAAAACTTGAATATTTTCCGCTTGTTTCGTTAGCCTAGGAAAAACGTATCTAGTCCACAAAAGTTATAGACTTAGATCAAGACCTGTTTATAAATTTCGTTTATATATAATAGGTATATATAATAACTTAATAATAGTAAGTACCATATGTTGTGGTTTGTTGAGGGCTTGGTATTTGGGGATTCGGTTGTAAATATGTGTAAATACAGAATTTTCTTTGGTTTAAGACGATTTCTCACTTTCTGGTTGTTGTATATATAACTCTCCAGCCTTGCCATGAAGAATAGCGTTCGCGATATTGGTATAGAGGTCTGTATATATCGTTTAACTATTATATATAATATATGGTGTTTGTCGATTTCGTTTGGTTTGAGAGTGCAACTGTAAATTGTAGGTACTTATAAACTAGCTACAACACAACACATGCCACGCCATGTAAAATTGTAGGGGTCTCGTGTCAGAATTTTGGTGGCTGAAAAAATCCATCAAAATGCTAAATCTTCTAACTAAGTTTTTCCTTTCGCTTCCTTCCTATCCATCCTATCCATTTGTTTTTTTTTTTTTTTTGGCATTATCTAAGAGAGAGGTCAAGAGTGTTTTGTTTTGGTTTTGCGTTTTTGGAAAACGTTGATTTGGCCATAAACTTTTCTTTGGTAGATTTGTTAGCTTCGGTTGGGTTCTGTTTTTGTTTGTTTGTTTCGTGTGGTGTGTCAGTTTATCTGTGGTTCGAGTTTTCGTGTAAAAAGGTACATGATAAGATTGTTTCGCGACTCATCGATGCCCAGCTGTTTGACTCTAGGTCGTCTGACCCTGGGTGGAGTGTCCTCCCGACGACAAGGAGGCCGTGGTGCTGGTGGATCCCGCAGCAGGCACTCCGGATGCAGAGGTGCTCTGCTCCTGGCTCCACGGATGCACCATGTCGTAGTACTTGCGGTAGTCGTAGTCAAACAGCTCGAAGTCGATGCGATATATCTTGAGCAATTGGTCCAACGTTGAGCGGTCGAGATCGGCGAAATAACGCTCGACCAGGGCCTCCGATTTGATTCCACTGCGCGCCTGGTTGCCAATCTTGCGCTGCTTTCGCTGCGGCAGCTTTCCCAATCCCAAAAGCAGCGACTCCAGTCCCGCCTGTCGAATGATGAACTCAGAGTCCCTTTGAAAAGTCTCCGTTTTCCCGATGATCGTGAAGTTGACGCTGCAGGGCGTGCAGAAGCTGTAGATCGGAGCCCAGTGCTCGTCAAATTTCTTGCCAGCCTCGTGTTCGGCGATCAGGAAGCGCACAAACTCCTCGAAGGTGGGTCCGCATCTCGGCCAAGGTCCTCCGAGACTCCTCTTCCGGTAGCGATGCACGATCTTGGTGCCCAGTGCCTTGTAGAAGGTGTTCTTGTTCCCCTCCAGCTTGTTCCGATAGGCACTCAGTATCCGCTCGAAGGGATCGCGCACGAAGAGGAAGGACAACGCACTGGGCAGCAGCTCCATCAGTTCGCCGAGCTCAGGTCGGGGAAAACGCTTTCTCGCCAGCTCCAGTGGCTGGGTGTCCGTCCTCTGCAGATACTTCACATCGTAGCCAGCTGGAAAAAATAGAGAAATCATTAATAGATCTGATAAATGTATCTTAATAATTAAAAGAAAATAAAATATTTAAATACAAGGGCACTTATTCCAGATTAATACATTTAACTTATGTTGTATTCAAATTAAATTAAACCAATTTGTTGATAAGTTTGAGTAGGAAAATCAAAGATCATTTTGCCTTAAAAACAAAACCCATTTTTTATATGCTTCACTTACCCAATATATTAAAGTAATACATCCACGTACTGCTGGCTGCCTTGAATACATTGCACCTGCAAAAATCAATTAAAAAAGGTTATAAAGCATACATAACTTGATGATTTAATGCCACTTACCAGACGAGATTGTTGTGTCCGGGTGAGACGAAGAACTCCCAGGGATTCGGTGGATACTTCTCCTTCAGCTGATAGCGATCGCAAACGGCGGAGAGATGTTCGTTCCTCTTCTGCAATTCCCGCTCCGTGCGGCTGTGCAGCTCCTCCGAATATTCGTAGACCGGATTCAAGGTGCTCGCCGGCGGAGGAGGAACCTCGGCCACGGGATGTGAGCTTCCGGCACTGGCATTCCCTCCAGTGGTGGCCTTTCCCTGCTCCTGCTGCTTGGCCAGGATCCTCTGCCTCTGCAACTGCTGGCGCTTCAGCTTGAGCTGCTGCTTCGTGGGTTCCGATTCCGCCTCCAACTCCGCGGCAGTTACTCTTTCGCGGTGCTCGTAGGCATTTAGGGATTCGCGGAAGAGGAAGGCGAAGTAGCACAGACCCACCAGGACACAGGCACCTATCTTCAGATAGGTCTGCAGGCGTCTTCCATAGCGCAGGCGGATGAGCATCTTGCGAATCTACTACGGAGCTCTGCAGCGATCACGCTGCATGTTCCACGGATTGGCGGCGGTTTCTTGATGGGACTAAAACAGTTTTGAGTTATAAATATATATAAATACGTATATATAAATACGTATTCATTTTCTTAAATACTTAATATTTAACTAATTCAATCAATGGTAATATAATAGATATAATACATCTAATGGTAATATAAAAGATATAATATATCTAAAAGTAATGTAATAAATATAATATATCTAATGGTAATATAATAGATATAATATATCTTAATTTAATATAATAGATATAACATATCTATGGATAATATAATAGATATAATATATCTAATGTTTACCCATTTTTCTTTAAATTTGTTAATATCTCTTAAAGTGCTTTTAAATTCCCTGACAAAAATCGCAGCATCCTCTGAAAAGGTATGCAAAGCGAATAATCGCTCACGGATTCTGTTTTGGCCAAGCAACTCCCATTAATTTTGCAGCACCCTCCTTTTTGGCGCTTTTGGCCAGGCGACACTTGTTGGTGTGTACACACCAGGCGACACACTCTCTCCTACATACAAACAAGCCAGCACCCCAAACAGGCCAACACACACAGACACACATTCCGACTTGGCAAACTACGTCATAGCCCCAACACAGACACACTTGAGCGGAGAAAGACAGAAAAAAACTGGCAACATCAACACTCGAAAAGTAGGACGTCATCCTTAAGCGTCGACATGGCCAATGCAATTGGTGTTGCCAAAAAAGTTGCCACTGGTGTTGGTGTTGTTGTTGCTGTTGCATTTGTAGTTTTGTGGGTAATGTTGCCATGGGGTCATTTGTGGCCAGGACGGGGAATTGGCCGCTGATATCTGGCACGAAGGCTGTAAAGTGTTCACAACACCTCGGAGACCACTTGAAAGCAGTTAAAGCTGCCCACTAAAGACCAGTTAAAACATATGTCCTACTCTATCTATTTATACGGCAGGTTGAACCTATGAAATCCGTTAAAATGATATAGCAAAACTCACTTGGTAGCACGGCGGGTGTTTTATTCTATATATATGTATATATCCTTTTTTCGGGGGGAGCTCCCTGTGTATACTGAAAGCCTACGGCTGCCCCCGCCTCTCCTGGTGCCCCCTCCTGCTGCCTCCGAGCTGGGAAACCGCTCTGTTACGTGTTGCTTTTGGCTCCTGGGGAATCCTGCTGCCTGCTCCGCTTCAGCCGTCCTGCTCACGGCGGCCACTCGCTCTCGACTGCCGCAGCTGCTGCTGGTCCCTGCTGTTGCGAGCCAGGACCTCTCAAGCCGACAATCCTGGCAGGGCGCCGGCGCAGGGAGAACCTCTCTAGTCTCTCTCACGATGGAATGCTGGGTCCTGGCCACCGGGACAAATCACAGGACCCTCTGGGGTCTCATGTGATCATCAACTGTGGAACTTGTACGAATAAATTAAAATTTAGTAAGATATGTTGTATAGTTAATTAGTATGAAATGTTAATTGATAAACCTTTAAAATAAAAATATGAAATTAGTAAACCCATTTTTAAACTTTTACTGATTGTCATCAGATGGTTTTGTACCCTTCCTAAATAAATATTTAAATAACCCCTCCAGAATTAAAAAGCTGTTTTGTTTTTTTTTTATTTTTTGTGTATATTAAATCTTTGTATTTTTTCTTTTTCTATAAATATTTTACTTTAAAGTACAAACAAATTAATAATAAACTTCTAATACTACGTTTTAAGACACTTTCGTTTTTGTTGTTGTTCATCTTGTGTGGTTTGTTGTTGTTTTAAATATTTAAATATATCTTTTTTATTTGTTTATGTGTGTGTGTTGTTTGTTGCCGTTTGTTTACGAAGCGGTATATAAATTATTTATACGTTTTATACAACATTTCCATTAACGTGTTTTCGGTTTTACTGTTTGCTGTGCTTAATCGGGCTTTTATTGCAGTTGGTTTGTTGTGGCCTGTCCGAAGTGTTTAAACAAAAGGTTCACTAAATATGCTTCAATTTTCGCCTTTGCGTTTATTATTTACGGGGGCCGTGGATGGTGTGGTTGTGGTATGCAATTATGGGTCCGGATCCGGGTTCTATATACGTTTAGTTTAGCGGTTCTATATGAATATATGCAAGTTATGCTAGGGGTCTGGGTTTTACATACGCTTATGTTTTGCCTTGCTTTAAAGTAAACATGTACAAAGTATCAAAAGAATTATTTTATGTAGCAATCATACAATATATATATAAGGTAATAATAATATTGAACAATATATAATGTTGTTTTGTGTTTTGTCTAGCGCTTTGCCTTTGCTCTGCTTCAATTACTTTACTCTTTGTTTTCCCCTATTTGTTCAAATAACATTTAGCAAAAATAGAGCCTGCCTTATATACAATACAACTTTTTGTTTGTGTGGTTTTTTTTTTTTTTTACTTTATCCCCTTTTCTTGTGTGTTTTGCATATGCAAAATATATAACATTATATAGTTCTTTTCACTTTGCAAAACGACAAATTCTAGGCGACTGATTCTCAATATTCTCCACTCTCCTCTCATTATATTTTTCCATCTGTGTTTTGTATTTTTTGTGTTCTTTTTTTTTTTTTTTTTGTTTTTCCATTTTTGTGGTGCTTGGCCTTTTTACATTTTTGACTAACTTATTGCATAGGTTTCCATGTGCATATATTGTTGGTAAAGAATTCGCTTTAAGATTACTGTCCTTAGGCTAGAGCAATTAAAACTAAAAAACAAATTTTCGAAACAACGCAAGCTTACGGAAACTAATACGCTATATCTGTATGTACTGTATTCTGTATTCATATGTTAAATGGGGCAACGGGATCAACTATAGATAGATAGGTTTAGATTTAGGGCCGGATGCAGCAGCAGTACTTCCAGTTCGGCTTCAGGCGCTAGGCGCCCGGGGATCGGACGAGGATGAAGCAGTAAGTAGAGGGAGAAGGATGAGGAGTAGGTGAAGCGCGGGGGGGCAGAAGCAGCAGATGCAGAGGAAGTACTAGAGGAGACAATGCGCCTGCCCTGAGGATAAACGACCGAAGAAGGAGGAACTGCATCGCGGACTCCCCCACTTCGGCGCCTCTCCATTTGTATGCTAATTTTCGACTTTCGAAAACATTGTCTAGATCTTCAAAAGCTTACAGAACCTATTTATTGAATTCCCTTTGAAAATGCATTGTAAAATGTTTTAGCGTTGCGTAAATAACAAAAAATGAAACAGAGCTTTTTAAAAAAATAGTAGAAAACCTAAAGTAAACGTGCGGTCTGCTCTGATCTGCTCGATCCAGCGGATCAGCTTCTTATAGACTTTCGACTGGGCGCAGCGCGTAAAAGTAAGACAACCTAAAGCTAGAAATGTGTTCATGTTGCATCGCGAAGAATCCAAATATTTACAGAGCGGTCCATGGAAATAATAATAAGATTTTCAAAAAAATAAACTATGCATGCGTGAGATACTCGTAGTGTGTTCGCGTGGGGGTTTGGAGATGTTGATTCTTTTCAGTTTTAGCCAACTATTCTACGTTAGTGTTTATGGGAGCTTCTCGAAAAAATACGTACTCAACTAATTTGTTCAAATTTCATCTTCTGAGCTATACATTAAATTGCCTGTTTTCACTTGACTAGCAAATCATTTCCAATGGGTGGATTCTTGGGGAGTCGCAGCAGTGCCAGATGAGATGAGGCTGGCTATCTGGTGGCGGATAAACTCGGACTTTGGCGGGGCAGAAAACAAAGTGTAAACGAAGGCGTTAATCGGCGCTTGCAACCGTCCGTCTGCGGGGTGTTTGGGTGTGTGTGTGTTTGTGTGTGTGATGTTGCTCGCTATGAGACGCAACATTATTGCAACTTGTGGCTACCACTAACTATACAAAAAATCCTCAACGGAAACTAGGACTAAGAACTACAAACCAAAGCGTTCGGTATCAGTGCGTGAGATATATACAAGTAGCCATCCGTTTCGTCCGTTCGTTCGTGAACCGACTTCGCCGACTACGCCAGCTGCGGCGAGCTGCTGCTGGCGGATCGCTGTTCATCCGCCGTCGTCGCCTCGCTGGCGAACTCCTGGAAACTCAATCCCAAATCATTGTTCAGCTGCACGATGTTCAGCACGTCGCCGGAATCGCGCCAGGTGTGCTGGTGTTTGCTGGTCATGGCACCGCCTCCGCCGCCACCTCCTCCACTGCCGCTGTCATCCTCCTCGCTGAGTATGTTGTTCAGACACAGGTTGAACTCATCGTAGTCGACAAAGTTGCCGCAGTCCAGGGCCGTGGCATTGGCCAGCTCCGGCATCAGCACCTCGTCCACGTCCACCTCGACGTCGGCGGCACTGCTGCTGCTGTGGTAGGACAGTAGGTGATCGTCGGCCTCCTCCATGTAGCCGCCGGCTGCTCGCGAGATTGCCAGATTCTCGTACTCGGTGGCCACCATCGCCTCATCACCGTCACCATCACCGTCCTCGTCCTGCGCCTGGGCTAAAGGAAAGCTGCTGCTGCCCATCTCCAGCTGTTGCTGTTGCTGCTGATGGTGTTGCTGCTGCGGCTGTTGCTGATGCGGCGGCTGCTGCTGCTGCTGCTCAAAGTCTTCGAACAGCTGCAGCAGATCGTCTTCGTGCGCATCGCTCGGATGGTTCAAGCCTTTAGCCAAGGCGCAAAACTCTGGTCACTTGTAGTCACGCGACGTTCTTCTCCGGCGTCCCTCGGTCAACATGGACTCACCAATGACTGTTGAGTGGTAATAAATGAGTTAAGATTGTTTCGATATTGATTTAATATGTATGATGGACTCACCAGCACTGCGTGTCTTTCGTCTGGCTTCCGCAACGCTCTCCACATTGCCGCTGGCGCTGTTGCCACCGACTGCTGCTGCCGCCTTGCCAGGTGTTCCCTTCGGCTCTGCCGCGGCGGCGGCTGCTGCAGCAGCTGCGGCTGCATTGCTGCGACTGTAGATGATCTTGTTGGCCGCTGCACTAGCGCGCACGCTCCTCCGGGTGCCGATCTTCTCGTCCGTTGGCGAACTGGCCGAATTGACGTTGTTGTTGGTCGTGCTGGCCGCCGCCGCGGTGGCTCCTCGTGTGGCGTGCACCACGCTCGTGCTGCTGTTCGTTTGGCTGGTGGTGGTCACCACAGCTCCACCTGGCATGGTTGTGGTGGTTACTGTCGTTGATACGGCACTGGGACTGCTATTGTGGTTGGTGCTGGCAGCGGTGGCGTTAACAACTGACGCTTGAGCCTTGCCTGTCCTCGGTGTTCCGAGTGAAGGAGTGGTGGACTGGGTATGATTGCTGGCCGCTTCTGTTGGTGAAATAATAATATTTAAAATAAATTACTTAAGAATCCATCGATACTAAAATACAGATAACAAATAAATTATTACTATTCTTTTTACAATTATAAAATCAAGTGTTTTATTTCAACTTACTGTTTTGTGGTGGTTGTAGCTGCTGTGCATTGCGCCGCGTCATGTGCTTCTCCACTGCCGCTGCTGCTGCCGCGTCGGCCGCCTCCACTTGCGCCTGCTTCGAGTTCCGCACCTTGCCGGCCACCTCGATCAGCGGCTCATCCGAGTCGGAGGACTCGATCTCGATCTTTTTGGGCAACCCGGCGCCAGCAGTGTGTTCTGCATTGGCTTCCGTTGCATTCGGAGTGGCGGTGGTCCCGTTTCCATTGTTGCCACTGCTCACCCGCGGACGCTTGATGCTGTTCTCGCCCAGATCGGCGCCATCGTTACTGCTCCCGCACTCGGATTCCTGACGCCGTCGCTTGTTGTTGTTGTTATTGTGGTTGGGCGTGGGTGTAACCACTCGAGGACTTGCAGTGGAGGATGAGGCGCGGGATAGGGATTTGGCGGTGCCAGGAGGATTTCCTGCCGGGGTGGTGGCTGCCGCATTGACTGCAGACGCATCCGGACTCGCTTTCGGTGCATCCAGTGGACTCTCCAGGCGACTGCTGGCCCTCGTCCTAATCCTCGGCGTTTCACCATCCGCTTGGGCGGGTATCTCAATCGAAATCGGTTGCAGGGAGGCCTCGCTTTGGGGTTTCTCCTGCACCTTATCCTCCTGCTTGGGTTCCGCTTTCGGCTCGGCTTTCACCTCCACCTTGGCTTCGACTTTTAGTCCACCCCCAACTGGCTTGATCGCCGGCTCCTTCTTGATCGTCAGCAGCGGCGGCAATTCCTCCAGCTTCACCTTGACCACCGGCTGTTGTGGTTGCTTGCTCTCTTGATTGAGTTTCTTGATGAGATCATCGTGTTCGAGTATATGGTGTTCGCCATTCAACTTGACGCTACTGCCTATGCTACTTGTGTTCGTGGTTGCCGTCACCGAAACCGTGGCAACCGTCGCCGGCGGCAGCGATTTCTCCAGGCTGTCGAGGAAATCACGTCCGGCACGGCCATACTCGCTGGACTCCTTGATCATCGAGGAGACGATATCCTCGAGGTCCTCGGGAAAGTCGCCCTCCATCTTGGCCAAAGCCTTCTCGATTTCGTCATCCGCCTGCTGCTTCTGCTGCTGTTGCAGGGAACTCGCTCCGGTCAGAGTTGCTGCTCCGGTTGCAGTGGCTCCAGTGACTCCAGTTGGCGTTGAACTGGTTGTAATCACTGCTGGTATCACCGTCGTCGCTGTTGTCGTGACCATGGTGCTCGTCGTCGTCTGCTGTTGCTGCTGTTGTTGTTGCACCATCGTCACCGCCGCCTTGCTCACCTGAATGGGACTGCTTGAGGAGAGCTGATGGGGGCTCTTCTCGGAGAGCGCATCCATGGACTCGATGCCGCTGTCCTCGCCACCACCATTGTTCCCGTGGCCGGGTGTTCCACTCCCATTGCTGGCGGGCGAGTTGCGCAATGTGCTGGGCAACGCAGCCGGCGATGAGGTAGAGGTCGTGGTGATTATGGACGCCGAGGAGGAGGCCGTCGACACCGAGGATAGGGTTGAAAGTGTTGCGGAGGCGGAGGAGGAGGAGACGGAGGAGGAATTAACGGTGGCCACCACCACATTGTTGACGGTGGTCATCGGCGCCATGGCCACTGGCAACTTTCTATCACAGATCAGCTGAGTTGTTTGCGCAGTGGGCGTCGACGAGGTGGTTATTGTTGCCGCCGTCGCTGCCGTTGCCACTGGGGATGGATTTATGCTGGGAGCCTGCTCTGCCGTCACCTGCGGCGTGACCTTTGTGATCTCCACACGCTTCAGGGTGGTCGCACTGGGCAACATGGTTACGGCCGCCGCCAGTTGTCGCTGCTGTTGCTGCTGCTGTTGTTGCTGCTGCTGTTGTTGTTGCTGCTGTTGTTGCTGCTGCTGTTGCTTCTGCAGCTGCAGCTGTTGCACGGCTGTGATGTATGGCGGCGGCTTATGGTTTTTTGTCATCGGCTTGCCACCCACAATGGGCGTTATGGTGGCGGCAGTCTTAATCGGATTCTTCATCGTCAACAGGCGATTGTTGTTGTTACCGCTGTTCACGTTGTTGTTATTATTGTTGCTGTTAATGGCACTCAGGGTTATGCTGCTGGGCAACGAGGTGGCTATCTTGCTTAGCTGCTGCTGCTGCAACGTCGTCGTCGTCGTCGGCGTTGTTCCCGTGTTCGTGGAACCGACAATCAGCTGCGGATCGCTGAGGGATTGGGCCTGCGCTTGTGCCTGAGCCTTGTGCGCCTCCACAATCGCACTGATCGTCAGCCCATTCTTGCCCGCCACAATGGTCGTGGTCTTCGTCGTGGTGGCTCCTCCGGTTTGCAGTTGTTGCTGCATTTGTGGCGGTGCCACCGTTGCCGTCGTCTTCTGTATCAGTATGGGCAATCCGTTGACATGCGGCGGAGGCGTCAGCTTGGCCTGCTTGTTGTCCGTCACCGTGTCCATCAGCAGTTGTTGCGGCGGCTGATCGCTGTAGCTGCGCTTCAGCTGGCGCTCGTCAACGTTGGCCTCCTGATTTTGGCCCTTCTTTCGATCCTTGCGCGTGTTCTTGACCACAACATGGTTCTTACCCCGCAATCGAATCTGCAGGGGAGGCACACGCGGTTCGTTGAGACCAGGAACACTTTGTTGCTGTTGCTGCTGCTGCTGATTCTGTTGAAAGTTGCTGTAGACTGGATGGTGTTGCTGCTGCTGTTGGAGAGGCTGTTGCTGCTGCTGTTGTTGTTGTTGCTGCTGCTGCTGCTGTGGTTGTTGCTGCTGCTGCTGTGGTTGTTGCTGCTGCTGTTGAAGCTGAGAAGGTTGCTGTTGCTGCTGTTGTTGTTGTGGTAGCTGCATTTGAGTTTGCTGCAACTGTGGTTGCTGCTGCTGCTGCTGTTGCTGTTGTTGTTGTGTGGGCAAAGTCAACAACTGTGTCTGCATAGGCAGCTGCTGTATGTGATTATTAACTATTTTATTTAATATTGTCTGCTGCGGCTGCTGTTGTTGCTGCTGATTTACAACTATCTGCCCTTCGTAGCCGGTTGTCGGCAAATTATCCACCCTGTCCAGCTTCAATCGCAGCTTTATCTTCTCCTCGGCCGCTTTCGTCTTGGCATTGCCCTTCGCCCGCTCTCTTTTCGGTTTCGGCGTGGCCGTTGGATCCTTGGCCTTGCGCTCCTTAACGCCCTGCTGCAGCTTTCCGCGCAGCAGATTCGGCTTGGCCTTCTTGCTGGGCGCTCCTCCAGCTCCACTGGCTGTCACGGATTGCGGCGAATTCAGGCCAACCAAAGGCGAACTGTTGCTTGACCGCGGCGAATTGTCTCCCGCACCGGCAATGCTGTGATTCGCTTTCGAGACTGGCGTTTTCCTTGCTCTGCTTGTGGCTGATTTGTTGGACGCCAGGGAATCTCGCGATCTCTCCTGATCACTACCAATTCCCAGCGGATGCTGCTGCGCCGAATTCGAGTCCTCCTCGGAGAAGAGATTGTTGGGCAGAAGCATATCGTTGGCGGGATTGAAGCAGAAGCTGCCCAATCCACCGGACATGTTGCTGTTGCGAAACTGTGGCTGTGCCGTTTCCTCCTCGGCCTCAGTTTCGCTGTCATCGCTGGCCATGGGTTCCATATCCCCGGTGTGCGGATTGATGATGAATTGCTTTTGGGGCGGTCTCTGTTGCTGCTGCACATGCTGCACTTGCAGTTGTGGTTGCTGCTGCGGCTGCTGTTGTTGTTGCTGGCGTTGCACCATCTGCAACTGCTGTTGAAGCTGCTGCTGCTGTTGCAGTTGCATTTGCCGCTGCACCTGTTGCTGCTGGCGCTGTTGCATTTGCGGCAATTGTTGTTGCTGCCTCTGCTGCTGCTGCTGTTGCATGATCAGTTGCTGCTGCAGCTGCTGTTGTGGTTGCTGCTGCTGTTGTTGTTGCTGGTAAGGCATTTGCAGCATTTGCTGCGTCTGCTGTTGGGGAGGCATCACCGTTTGCTGCTGCTGCTGCTGATCCAGCGGCGCCTCTTGCAACGTGTTGAGCGCATCCCGCACATCCATGTCCACTGCCGATAGATTGTCTTCGATCAGATCCAAGTCCAGATCCTTGGCGTCCTGCAACAGCGACTCCAGCTCGTTTTTATCTTCCAAACTCAGCGTCGAGTCCAGATCACAGTTGAGAGTTGGCAGCAATGCGTCCAAATCGTTGGTGGTCAGAGCATCCAGCACGGAAAGCGATATCAGCGAATCCACTTGACCTTGAGCTTGACCTCCAACTTGTGGCTGTTGTACTTGTCCCTGCTGTTGCTGCAGTGTCGGCAGTGCTGGGGGAGGCAACTGTTGCTGTTGCTGCTGGGCCTGCTGCTGCTGCGGTTGTGGCTGCTGCTGTTGCGGCTGTCCCGGCAAATTGACTTGTTGCTGTTGCTGCTGCAGATTGTACTGCATCTGGTAGCGCGTAAACTCCTGGAAACTGCTCTTGGTGGCCGAGTCCATCGGCTTATTGATCCCCGCCAACGGCCAGCGGGAGTTGGCTGCCGCCTGATTGTAATCCGGTGGCGGCGCTGCAGGTACATGGTGAGCGGCTGGCATATGCTGTACCGCCAGTTCGCTGGGAGCGGAGGATCCAGGCGTAGAAGCAGGCGACATCATTTGCGACTGTTGCTGCTGCTGCTGTGCCTGGTGATTGGCCATCAGCGGACTGTGCATCGAATGGTGGCTGGAGGCGGGCGAGAGTGCGGGTCCATGCGGCGAGGCACCGCTCATGAATTGCTGTTGCGGTGACGCTTGCGGCATGGACAGGCTCATAAGACGCTGCTGCTGCTGCTGTTGTTGAGGATGAGGTGGTGGCGGGGCCAGCGGCAGTCCGCCAGGTCTCAATTGATGTCTTATCGGTTGCTGTTGCATGGGATTCATGCCCATGTTGTTGAAGCAATCTGTTGGGTGGAAAGAAAAATAGTTTAGTAGGTATTCTAAATAAGTTTACATAGCCCATATGGACGCTGATTATAGATTAATAAATTTTGTAGTTAAATCTTACCAGGTGCAGGCTGAAACTGCTGCTGTGGTTGCGGCTGGCCCTGTAATTGCTGCTGCTGTGGCTGCATGAATCGCATTTGCTGTTGGCGTTGAAGTTGCTGTTGCTGCTGTCGCAAAGCCACAGCCTGCTGTTGAAAGCGATGTTGTGGTCCTTGCTGCTGTTGCTGTTGTTGTTGTTGCTGCTGCTGAACCTGCTGTTGTTGCTGAGTATACATAAGGTTGCCATTGCCGCTGGGACTAAGCATGGCCTGCTGCTGCTGCTGCAGAGTCCGCATCACCACGGGCGGCGGGCAAGCAGAAGTAGCCGTCGCCTGAGGCGTTGTGGGTGAGGAAGGCACCACCGGACTCAGCACATCGCCCATAAGAAAATCGCTGGGCGTCGCTGGACCGGCGGATCGCATCGGGGAGTTCATCATCTGCGCTCCATTGGGACTCATGCCAATCAGCGGCGATTGCTGTTGCTGCTGCGGCGACTTGAGCTGGTTCGGATTCGACATGGCATTGCCGTCGTTCTGCAGCAGGTTCACCAGCAGCGGCGACGATATGGCAATGTTATTGCTGCCAGTCGACGTAGCCGTCGGCAGCGGCGGATGCCCGAGCGGATGGTTCAGCTGGCTGGGTGCCGTCACAATCGCTGGCTTGGCACTGGCGCCCGCTATGGCAATGGGTGAACTGACGCTGCTGCCGGTCGCGGAGGCAGCTCCCAATCCCGGATATGGCGGCGGCGGTGGCTGGATGAACTGAGATTTGCTGCCCGGCGGCGTTGGAGTTGTACTCGGCGTTGGCGTTGTGGGCGTCAGTTCCCCATTCTGCGGTGCCTGTTGTGGTTGCGTCTTCAGCACCTTGAGGGTTACATTCGGCGGAGGAGGCGGTGGCGGCAGTGGCGGACCCAGACCGCCCGTCTCCCGACCTTGCAGTACTCTCGCCTGTCGCATGCTCTCGAAGGGGAAGTCCCGCGTGGCAGAGGGCGAGGGCAACAGCAACGGAACCTTGCCCTCCATCGGACACACGGTATTGGGGGATTTGAAGACGGCGGGAGTGACGGCCACCTGCTGTTGCTGCCCCGGTTGTTGCGGTTGCGGCTGCTGCTGCTGAAGGGGCATCTTCTGGAGGCCAAGACCCGCCGCCCCCGCTGCTCTTCTTTGCTGGAGTGAGATTGCATCGTTCAGGGGCAGCTGCAGGATTCTCTGATGCTGTTGCAAATAGGCGGATGCCGCCTTGCTTGTACTGGGGCCATCGAATCCCGCAGGCAACAGACCACTTTTGCTGCCGGAAAGCGAGCCAGCCGCCTCGAGTGTCTCGTTTACATTATCTGACGAAGGGATTACAGCGATTACTTGGGAATCTAAATAGGAATGACCTACAGGTACTCACCCTTGGTTATCTTAATATCTTGTCCACCAACTTTCAAAGTTATCACAGAATCGCCCTCAAATTGCACGGACTGAATGTTGAGGGCGCGCAGCTCGGGATTCCCATCGTTGGCCAGCTGGCGCAGCCGTTGCGCTGCATCCCAGGGTAGCGAGACCAATATCCGCACCAGTGACGGTTCAAGCTGCTGCAAGGGTTCGCAAATATAAGACATTTTTCTTCAAATCCGTCATTTAATTAACAATTTAAGGAGCCGTATAGGAAGAGTAAGAAGAAGAGAAGGGCCAAGTGAAATTACTGGAGGTGGACACCATCTGGTATCGATAACTATCTGCTAGAAGTTTGCAGCCCTGGCTCGAAACACACACAAACAAACAATAATTTATTTGAAAACATATTTCTTATTTACCAATAAAGATTAATAAATTAGGGATACAAAATTGAATATTTTATTTATTAGTATATTATTAAGCAAATTACATTGTTTTTGCTTTTTATGTTTTTGTTTTTAGCTCTGCCGTATCTACTGTTAGAGCGGGATGGCTATATTCCACTCATTGGAAATTCCAACAACAATTTGTTTCGACAACAGGCCCCCATGATTAAATGTTTGAATTAAGTAATCCGAAAAGTCTTTTCAGCTGACTGCATTTTCCACGCGCGATGGGCAAAAGAAGGGGACGGGGCAGCTGCTGCCCACAGGTTGCATTCCCCCCATGCGTGCGTGCGTTTGCTTTGGACATTTCTCTCGCTGCGGGATGTGTTATCGATACCCCGACGTCGTCGCCATTTTTCTTCTTGGCCTCTTGGAAGGGTGTGCGTGTGTAAGCGCCAGTGTGTGTGTGATGGGTGGGCAAGTGTGTGTGGCAGAGGGAAAAGGTAACCAAAATACTTGCTTGGAACTAAGGCGGGGGGTAAAAAGGGGCGGGCAGATTAATAAAATAAAAAAAATTTAACGGGAATAAGAAAATTAGACACACTCAAAGGCATGCAATTAGTTCCCCGCTCTTCAAACCGCGCTTATTGTTTTTGTTTTTATCCCTGTTTTGGTGCGTGGGTGACGCAAGTGTACAATGGGCAAAAGCAAAGGAAAAAAAGAAACCCAGAAGTGCAATAATCGCAAATCAGCTGTTCTGTTGCGCTTAAAAACCGAAACCGCATAAACTCACCTGTTTAAGTGGCATATCATCACACGACAATCGCACGCGTCGTAGGTTTAATTGGTAGAACGCTGCTCAATTCTCGCATTTAGCTTTCGATTGACCGCCGTGGCGTCCTTTGCATTGGGTTAATTGCATTTTAAGCACAACACTGTCGATGGTTTTGGATTTATTGTCTTTCGATCTTTCCCCACTAGTTTTTAACCTCTTCGACTTTGTTTTTGGGCATTTTCCACTTTTTTTTTCTTCTTTTTGCTTTTTACTTTTTTAGTAGTAGCCTCACCAACACAAACGCACTGCAACACACACACTCACACACACACGTGCGGGGCGCGGATACGGATTTTCCTGCGTCACTTTTTAAGCGCTTTTCCTGCTGGAAATCACGTTTGCCCGCTTTAAGATTATTGTTCAGGGCAAATCGAAAGTACTTGGGCCTCCTCTTTTATACATTTCACATTCGTTTGCCCAATAATAATGCTTTTTCAGAGCTGGTGGAAAATTTTTCACGCATTCGGGCAGCCGATTTTCGGGGGCTTAATTTCACACGGTTCGCTCGTCTGCGGGCACTCAATAAACGCACTTGATCGTTCCGAAAGATTCGCGCTTGCTTTTCTGCCTTTTGTTGGCGCTGAAGCGATGCGTTTCTCCTGTTTATTTTGTACAAAAAACTTCGTAATTATTAAAATTCCACGAACAATAACAAGCACACAGTGGTAGCCATTTTTATTTTCCAGCCGGTGTTGCCAGTCGGTTGGACGCGGAAATCTCCTAAATTTGCCGGTGTTTTTCGGGGTTTCAGGGCTGCACGCTGGCCAGTACTGGAAGTAGTGCGCGAGTAGTGTTGTCAGGTCCGCTAAATTCATAAATAATTGTAATTGTTTCGTACAACAAAATCTTGATGGGGAGAATCAAAAATTCCGTTATGCATCGTAAAATTAATTCAATAAATTTTTGCTGAAATGATTTTATATTTTTGAAAGTCATTAATGTGTCATTTAAAAAAAAAACCATTAGGAGGAATTTATAAAAATTGAAAATATATTTGTTTTGTTAAAATTATGCTCGGTCGGTGTTCCCTACAGCGTTGCCACACTCCTGATTTCTTAAAACATCGATAGTATCGCACAGACATCAGTCATAGTTGCATCTCTATCTCTGACAAATTCTGCAAATGTGAGTACATAATAAGGTTTTAAAATTTAAAAAGAAATATCTATCTGAATTCTTATTATTTCATCGTAATTTGGCATTGTAAAGAAAGCGCTTGGCAATTAGTTAGGTGCCAGAAACAAACTAATCGTTTTCATTTGTTTTGGGCAACTTGCCTACGAACCTTACGTAACTACCGTGCAAAATAATTGAGTTCTGCGATTTTCTTCCTTTTAGCGTCATGGCCAACACTCCAGCAACCTCCAGCGCAGGACCCGTGCTCCGTGGCCTCCACAACGCCACCATCAAGAGGAATCTGGCCATTTCCCTGGGTCTGACCGCCATTATCACCGTTGCCTACAAGATTCTGGTCAACGATCCCAAGAAGGCCGCCTACGCCGACTTCTACTCGTAAATATAAAATCAATACATATCTGAAATCCATTACCATTAATACTTTGGTTAACCCGTTACAGGAAGTACGATGCTAACAAGTCCTTCGAGCGCATGAAGGCCGCCGGTCGTTTCCAGTCCTGCTAAATGCCCCAAAAACACATGTAGCCTAAGTCAAAAGATGTTGTAGAACAAGTGTTACGCTTCTGTATTGAAAACTAAATAGATTTCAGTCTACGTATGTGCACGAAGGCGTTTTAATTTGGATCTATGGTCTAGTTTCTTATGGAGTTAATTATTTTCAAGAAGTAGTTTCCATTCTTCATTCTCATTAATTCCTATTGTCAAAACCAATGTATTATGCTTCATCGTGAAATTGGCTAAGTCGAATTATTATTAATTTCTTTATTAATTACTCGTATTTACAAACTTATCAAAGTAGTGCACATAACAAACACAAAACCATAGCCTCGCAAGGAGGAAACACATCTAAAACCTAATGGCAAAGTCCTTGTAATCCAGTCGGCTGAGATTTCCCTGGTTCCGAATCTCGCATCGGTCGATTTGGCAGCCAGGAGAGCCCTCAGTGGACAGCCAGGTGATCCTGCCGAAGAAAATTCATCAAGTACATTTCTCTGGAAGCTGAATGTAAACCTGGGTTACCCACATCTTGTCCACCTCCTCCTTGGGTCCCTGCATCTTGCCCACGATGGTGCCCTGTTTGCTGTTCTTCACCCAGCCAGTAATTCCTTTCTTGGCGCAGCGTTCACGGGTGTCTTTCGTGAGATTCAGGCCTGCCGGTCGAGATATACCACAGATATATATTTTATATAGTCTAGTGAATGTGGAATGGGGCGTGAAAGAAAGCCAAGGACAAGTGGGGCCCCCAAAGTAACTAGCTATTTAGGGTTTATTTTTAGCCATCCCCATGAAAGATAATCTGGTTTCTAGCCCTTATTTCCTGATCCTGAATCTCCTTTTAACCGCACCTTGCACATGTCCGTAGACCTCGAAGTCCAGCGTCACCAACAACCGGATGTCCGGAATGCCCATTTCGATCGAGTTCGAAGTTCACCAAATGCGCACTTTTTGTTATGTAAATTTAGCAGCAAACTGCTCAATATTGTCGATTGATTTGTATCACCTTATCTGCTTTAAAAATATATGCGTATTTAAAACTTTTGGTAAACTGGAATCCTTTTTTAAATCAATTTTATTAATATTTATTTTACTGAGAGCGATTTTTTCCGCCGCGGTCTCGAATTTGATTTTCAACAAGCCGTCGCAAATTTAAAACTAAAATGCCAAGTAGCATATCAATTGCTTTCTATTTTGCGTTTTCGATTTGTATTTGCGTATTTATTTTAGCCACCCGTTGCACTCTGCCTCTTTCTAAATGTTTTTGTTGTTATTTTAAAGAAAAGAAAATACAAACGAGATAGGAATCTTTCGGGACGGTCACAGACAGCTGAGTTTTGTGGTCAGTATTGGATTTTTGGGTGCGCTACGTTGGGTTTAAAAGAAAAATTAGTAAAGAAAAATATTTACAAATGATAAGTAAAGAAAATCATTAGTTAATTGTAGCTCTTAAATAATTTATGAAAATTTTTCGTCATTTTGACATAAACATATAGTGATAAATTAAGTTCAATTTTTGAAACCCAATACGATTCAAATTTAAAATATAAAAAATTATTGTATTCTACTCAAGAGTTTTCAAGAACAGTAGAAATTTGCTGTTATATTGCAAAACTCTTAGAAGGCTCTCCATTATCTCTGTATTTAGAATTAATTATATCTGGGGCTGCACATTGCTCAATTTAGCAATAGAATTGTGCATTTTCTTTGCCTCTAGAAAATGTATTGACCCAAAACATTGCACAGACTTTGAATCTGGGAAACCATTGATTTCGCTTTCTATATAATCCACCTGAAGCAATGTGAGGAATGACAAGTTCATAGCAGGCGCATTAGATGGGCCGTGAGACTTTTATAAGATCAGACAACAATGGCATTTTATTTGTACTTTTCTTCGATGAAAGGGAAATTCAATTTTTCAATGCAAAGATGCTTGCATATTGTATGCAAGATTTTTATCCTTGCTTAGGTATTTGTCCTAGACCAAGATAGAAAAAGCGGAAACCTAAGACAAAAATAAACCTCCTTTCAGTTTATTTATAATACTTCGAACACAATTTAAATTTAAAAACTCCAGTTTGTGATTGGTTATATAGTATTTACAGATTTATTTATTAGTTTCTTGCGATATATGAAAATACCAATGTACAATGTTTATTTAACATAGTCGAATCGTTATCACTTATCTAGTGTGAGTGTGTGATGGTGCCTTCGTCACCAGATTAAAATTTGCCACGTAATCCTGCAGTGGAAAATGCAAATATACTTAAACAAATATACTCTAAATACGTCGATCCCTAGATTTCTGTACAGCTGCTAATAAAGATCGTGACTACGTCTACGGATTAATGCTAAACATCTGACTCTTAAGTAAGCTCGGTAGGATTAAGCTTAGGCGATTAAAACTAGTTTAACATCTAGGCATAGAAACGATATTAACGGTAACAATGAGCCGGGATTCCGGAGCTCCTAAACGATCTGCACGGTGGCATGGGGCTTCTCGATCAAGCTGCTCTGGGCCTCCTTGTCCTTCTCCGCATTTCTTCCTAGAGAAGCGTGCTCGGGTTTCAAGTAATAGTGCGGCGGAGGCTGCAAGGGGGAGGATCCTTGGTGGGCCAACTTCTTCCGGCGCTCGCGGAGGAAGTGCAGCCGCACGTAGTTGATGGGTATATCGACGCTATCGGCTCCAACGCCCTCCGCATCGATGAACACCCCGCGCACCAGGATGGAGTTGGAGCACTTGATGGCAGCCAGCAGCAGGAAGGGAACCAGGTGCGTCAGCCAGAAGCTTAGTAACTTGTTGTCTATGCAGGTAAAAAATTAAAAAATAAATTATGAGAAACAAATAGTGCAAGGGATTATTCCTAGATAAAGAGTATTTTTCTTTCAATTAAATATCTTATTAAATAATTTAGTGTAAATATTTAAGTAAATATTTTACCTGGATAAAGATACACATCCAGCAGGTTCCAAATGCCTCGCCAGGCATTCACGGCCCCAAAGAAAGTCATCAGATAGTAAATGTCGCAAATTATCAGCTTAAGGATTCCACTGATCCGACGGCAAACATAACGCATCAGTGGGTGAATAAGGAATGTCACGAACACAGTCAGATAGCCAATGAGCTATAAGGAATTCCATTTCTCAGTTATACCGATTTATTGAATTTTTTTAGATATTCTTACCAGCGATCCCCAGGCTGATTTGGCTCTGTCCCCTGGAAACAGCAGGATGTCAAAGATTCCCCAAACACCGCGCCAGGCGATGACCACCAAGCTGCCAATAACAAAGACCGAGAAGAGAGTGTCCAACACATATAAGCCAGGTTGATGAAAACCCTAAATAATATAAACAATAATAATAATAATAAAATAAAAAACTGTATAAAAAATATATAAAAAAGGGTTTTGCAAATATTACTAGATTAAAAGATATTACTAGTATTAGTTTTTTTCAGTCAAAAAATTGAATAACTACTTATATACTTTCAATTCTACTCACGGGTATTTTGAACATGGTGTCCACTTCGAAGTAATCGCTTTTGTGGTCCATGGTCACGGTGTAGGGAGCTGCACCGAGGTTCCTCAAGGTCCGCGTGGCCACTAGGAACACCAAAGCAATCGCCGTGACCACAGAAACAATGATCAGGGAGTCCACACTTGTCAGCCAGTCGCAAAGGAGCCAGGCTCCCCGCCACATGTTCACACAAACGATCCCAAAAACAGCGGTGTATAACCTAGAAACTGCGTAGTAAGTGAGTCTCCTCCTGTCCGGATGAATGTGCTCCTTGAAGAAGTTCTGCGTGACGGTGAACAGGAAGTGGCCCACGCCGCCGATCAGGAAGCTGGCCATGGCAGAAAGGGGCAGGTTGCCGGGGAACAGGTAGACGAACATCAGTTCCCAGGTGCCGCGCCAGTAGGCGATCACACAGGGCGCCACCACGAGGCAGGACAGCAGCATGTCGAGGATCTCGAGCAGCAGCTCGTGGAGATCCCTTCGCGGGGTCTCCGCCTCCAGGCGCTTCTCGCAGGCAGGTGAGTGTGTGTGTGTGTGGTGGACAGGTGTGGCATGCTGCAGGTGCACCGGATGCGGATGCGCGTGTGGATGGAGGTGCTGCAGGAGCTGCTGATCCGACACGGACACCGATCCATGGCAATGGCTCTTCTGTGGCCTCTGACTGCCAGCCGAACTGCCCTTGTCCGTGGCCAACATTTCGGGGTCTCTTTGTATTCAGGGTTATTCTTTTTTGGCTTGGGGATTGGCTTGGGGATTCTCTTCCGTTTTAATTGAAACCTCCAATTACCGACAATTATCACTCCCGGTTAGCTGGTTGGGCTGGGAACGCTCCTGCTCGCTGGCTCGGATGATTTGGAAATAGTCAGGTAGGGCAGCCAAATGCATTCCGCAACCGGTGCTCTCCGCAACCGTCACCGCTGCATCGCCGCTGCGGTGATAGTAATCTGTCGCTGATAATTAAACCGTCTATCTGCGGACCCCTCGCAATCTCTCCAAAGTCTGGCCGCAGTTGCATAATCCGCACTCGCATTCGCATCCACTGTCACATCCACCTCGAGGTTGCCATTTGCCGTCTGGAAAGGGGCTAAAAAACAAAAAGGCAAAGAACAATCATCAGTTGAGTCCACAAAGCCCGGCTCCTTATCACCTTTATTTTTGCGCTGACTTAAATGCCGGTTATCAATCTTTGCTCGGCACTAAAGAGATTCCTAATAATGATTTTATAGCTTATAGTTTATAGTTTGTAGCCACGGCAGCTGCTTTGGATTCCTGCTTATCACTGTTTCCGACTCTTTCCAGTATTCACCGATTTTTTAAAGCGGACCTTGGTGCTTATATTAAGGCAGGTTTACTATAAAAATTCAGAGATAACAACCAGGCAGCTTCGCACAATAATTGAATCTTTGTTCTTGATTAGAGAAAGGAAGTAGAGAAGAATAACTGTTTATTTTAATTGAAAATCTATTGCAATCGAATCGGAAACTATACAGCATTTCGTTTATATTCGAAATACATTTTGAAAAACAAAATATGCATGATAAAAATGAAGTTGGGTAAAAACTACTTTGTATAATCCAAAGCCAAAAAATTAGATGACTAAAGCTAAGGAAACTTTCCCACATGACTCACAAAAAGAACATCTGATCTCATAACTCCTCTTTATGTTTGGATAGCCATTAAGGAAATCCTTTTTAGTCACCCAATACTGTTTCATTGGGGAGTATAAAAGCAAACCCACCGCAACTAGATATGAAAAGTCAGCACACTTGTTTGTTTGCACATGTCAGATGTCCCAGATTTTATGGAGATCACCTGAGAGAGGCGAAGCTCTTTTACTGATACCTCAACGTCAACGTGACAATTGTGCGTTGAGTGGCCTCTCCAGGCGGCACTTAAGTCGCCCCCTCGGACTTATCTCAAGTGACTTAATAGATCCAATTTAGGGGCTTTGATTAAAAGTGAAATGCCAGCGAAACAAAAAGCGAAAGTGATGCGTTTCACAGGCGACAGACAGCAGGGCATCGAAAGTGTCGGCGTCTTGAACTTGTGCCACTTGAACTTGTCACTTGAAATGGGCAGGTCAGGGGCATCTTCAAAGGGATTTTGGCAGTGAGGCAATGGGTAAAACTATTAACAAGCTAAACCCTCACATTTCCCTTTAAAAGCACATAAATAATAATAAAACTGAAAGTTTTAAGGGAAAAAAACCATAACTGTCGTGTTAAACATTTTCAAACTAAAGTAAATTGCTTATTAACTAACATCTAATATTAGCACGACTGTTTATTTCCAGAGATTTTTTAGTGTTTTGCTATAAATTTCAATAAGATAAATTTCAAACAGAAACATTCAAAATGTTTTGAATGCAAATAGAGAATATGCATGATCCCTTGTAGCTCTTTGTTGTACTTTTTTTCTAAATTTAAATGCTGTATAATGAATTCTGCGCCGATTCCATTTATAGTCTTTTACGTCTCCAGCAATTATGCACTAATTAGACGAAGCCGAGCTCTTCGCCCCCTAAAAATTAGTGCAGGATGTTTGTGATTTTCGTGTTTTGCTTGCTGTCCGTCTGCGACGGCAACGCGGCGTATGCGCGATAATTAAACACACGACTTGCATGGGGCCTCCGTCGAAGGTCCGACGAGTGCGGGAATTTCGTCGGTTCCACTGAGCCTCCAACTGCTGTTTGGGTCAAGCGCATTCGCATTTAAATCTGCTGGCTAAATGGACGACCCACTGAGCGGCTCATTGCGCCCAGCAAGACTTCCTCGTTTGGGGGATTCAGAGATGGATAGCGGGATGATTATAAATTGGGAACGGGGATCGGGGATCGCAGATCGGAGATCGGCGGGGATAGCGGGGAAAAGAAAAGCGGGGGCTATGGGGTTTTCAAGTTCAAACTCCCCAAGTGGGCCAAGTGACGTTCCAATGCGAGGCAAATGCACATTGTACTCCAATTATGTCGGCTAATTGACAAAGAACGGGTGACAATTCAAATGCCAAATTGGCCGCTGTTGCTGCGACTGATTCTCAATTTTCGCAAGGTTCTTGATAAGTCCCAGCCCCCGAGTTACGACTCGACTGCCAGCTAATTAGGTTTGCCAACACAAGTGAGCTGCAAATATTATATTATCCGTACTATATCTGTTTCTGGGCAAAGATACACAGATAGATAAGGCCAGTCTCGCGAAACACTAAAATCCCACGATTTGGCGCGTTTTATTTGGATATTGTTAAATGTTTACGATCCCAATTTGCCTTTGACTGATTTGAGAGCAATTTCAGGTGCGATAAAGGCCAAAGTACATCTCCTTACAGCTCAGCTTTGTTTAATATTTGCTCGCTTCATTATCAGCTCTTAAGTGCTCTTTTTGCTGGCACTCTCGAGTTGAATAATCGCATCTGAGCGATCTAATTCATAAGTTTGAGGGGCATACAATGACCTAAAGGATGGGCAAACATCTGTTGTACTGATATTCTAGCGCCTTTTAATTGTAACACCTACTATGCAAATGAGGGATTTTCATTTTTTTTTGTTAACTGAAATCTACGAGGAATATGCACAATGACAATCTGAAAATCAACTTGGCATAATGCTGGTTGACGCTTGCGGAGACAACAATTAACATTTATTCCAAATGCTTTTACAAACTTTTTTTTTATTAAACCTTTAAAATTAGAGTTCTCATAAAATTTGTTGAGTAGAAGTTAGGGCAACAGGACGTATGCGTGATGGATTTTAACACAAATCTACTCATCAAACTTCTAACGATCTTTATCAGTATATAACACTAATATATTTATAAAAAATATTCAATATTTTGCCAATAAATGCGATTATATACGCTAATAATATCGAATCGTAAAAAAACATACAAATCAGAGTATCTTAAATATTTACTAGTTCGTTTAGAGAAGAAGTTTCATTTGTCAAAAAAAAGTGCGCCTTTCGACATTATTAAATCATAATTGGAAATTTTAATTTCGTATTAAGCAAACACAATATTTCCAAATTGCTTCGATTAGATATGCCAATCAAATCGTGTCAACCCTCTCGGTAATCGTTATCCCTTATCAGTTATCGATTTACAAATATTACAAAATAATATATTTTGAGCGAGCGGAAAATGCGTGTGCAGCGATAAACAAATAACAAACGCGACCACACACTCAAACACACGCACACACTGCAGAAGTGACACTCACACACTGACGACAACGGTGGACTGTAATAAATTTATGCAAAAACAAAAACATGGGATTACCGTTTAAAATTAGCAGAGCTTGCTGTTGCTGATTTTATTTATTTTGTTTTTTTTTTTTGTTGCTGGGTGCGTGCGTCGCAAGTGCGAAAGAGAGGCACGCAGCAGTTATTCAGGGGTTTTGTTACTTTTACTTTTACAACAAAAAACACACACACACCGGAAATGATAGGGTTTTATCGAAATGCTTCGATTACTTTATTAGCTTTGGCGTCGATATTAATTCGATTTCTTCGATTTCGTTCGATTGACGGTGATGGTGAACCGTTAGACCGTTAGACGTTGGCCGTAGATGTTTGATGCTCGAATGCGCGTACGCGACTTCTGGCGCTACTATATATTCGTAGAAATCAGCTAAGCTCGGCCACACACACACACACACACAAACAAAGACAGACGCGTCACAAACACTGACACAGTTGCAATCTAGTTTATTTGTACGGTACGGTTGTTTGAACTCGGCGGACTGATCGTTCTGATCGCTCGTCAGTCGCCGGTGGCCGCAGCTACTAAACTGGACAACTGTCGTTCCGGGGGATCCGAATCTGCGTCTGATTTGGGTCTCCGTCGCGAACTGAGTGCCCCAAAAAGCCCCCAGCTAAAAATTCGCCACAGCTTTGGATCTGCTCCCGGTTTCGGTCCCCCTTTATCGAGTCAAAATCCGAGCTTGAGCTTGGTTTCCTACAGCAATCTCAAATTTTTCAACCATTTGTTTATTTTAAATGTTTCCGAGATAAATATATTTTGCTGATACTTCGTATTAATTGTGAAACTAATATATACAATTTTCTATTAATACTTGTATTTGGAAATATTTTGAATTTGTCAACCACGAGCTTTTTTTAGCGTCAAGCTTTTTACAATATTGGGCAGCCCTTTCATGAAGAGTGATCACCACTACTGAACACAGTAAAACCTGGTACAATATAAGCTTAATAATATCATGATGCAAAAAATAAAAAATTCAATAATATTTTCTAATTCATAAATTTGTAATTCGAAACTCGGTTTTTTAATACTTGTCAAATGATTGTCGTTGTTAGGTATCAGGTTTTGTTTGTTTAATTATGAATCAATTGATAAGTAATACGTGTATTAAAAAACTATTAAGAACAATGTTAGAAATGCTATTTATCACCGGTGGCAGTAACTAATTAGCATGGAATTGACTTCAATAATTCAGTGTGAAATTTAGTTTACAGTGTTGAAAGTCAATAATTTGCGCTGTAATATTAAAGAAATCTCATGAAAAACCCTAAAGCCACTTTTTTTTGATTGTTTATTAATTATAACCAGAGTCGCGTAACACAAAATTTGAAATAATTCGCAACTTATAAACTCATAAAAACGATGCAGGCGCATCGAGTGCAAATCTATAAATATTCAATTACACATGGGAACTGAAAAGCTGATTAACTGTGCTAAATCACAACACAGTTATACTTTCCCTTTAAATCGGATTGGTATAATTTATGCGTGAATAATTTTAGATAACAAAATTAAATATTGAGATTGTGCAAACAAATAAATACAATTAGCTACTGTGCTGACAGGTGAAGATTTATATTGTAATCGAGTTGAATTTCCCATATATAAAGTAAACTAAAGGAACTCATGACTGGGATTTGTGATTAGATTGCCTTCTAAATCATCATCTTTATGCTCATAAAAAAGTAGTAATCAGTTGTGATTTCCTTTGTCTCATTCTAAGCACTTGTTATAGATATTAAAAGATAATGGGCAAATTAATGGCACTCATGTGCCCATTGGCGAAATTGATATTGCTTATTTATAGTCCAACCTTGAAATAAGTTCTCCTATGCTTGTTTTGCCAAAATAAACTCAAGTACTCGTCTGGATCTCTATCTCTGACTCTATGTTTTCCACTTTATCAACACACAAGTTTAAAGGAAGCCCATAAAACTTAAACAGCTTTGAAGGGTTTGGGAAATTCGGAATTTTTATCAATGGGTACCAATAAATTGAACCTTTTCAAAAGAACGCAGTACATATATTTTGAGCGTTGTTTGTCATCAGCTTTTTAAGTTCTTTGTTCTTTTAGCACCGTATATTCACTCAATAGATTTTGGTGAAACAAAATTATGAATAACTTAGAGTTTGCTTTTCGTCAAATTGTATCTTACCAATTTCCAGTTAACCGCTTCCAAAATATTTTTAAGATGGAGAAACTATTCGAGCCCACTGATACGTATTTAAAGCCGGTCACAACATTACTAACCTACGACAAAACAAACTAGATCCAATTAGAGATTTCTTTCGCATATCACAGAAATATTCCAATGCCAACTGACCGGGGTTTTTCGGTCAACCTATGCAAATCATTTCGAAAATATCCGAGTCACCGATGATTTTTAGTTTGGCTGGATTATTTATATTTTTTGTTAATTAGTCTAATAAGCTATATCAAATATTTACATACGTCTCCTCCGATTCGAGCGCGTGATGATCGCAAACTGAAGTGTTGCCAAATATTTGGACCTCAAAAGCGCCCAAATCGGAGGAGTTTTTCGTTATCGCCGCCGATGTGATAAGGCAGAACGAGAGGAAGGTATGAATGCGAGTCCATTCCACTCCCTTAAGTTGTTTGACCGGCCTATTCCGCTTCGGTGGCGATTAGAATTTAATGTAAATGTCGCCCCAACTGGATTTGTCATTCGTATTTTTCCGCAATAATCGCAGGTTCGTTACGATTCCCGTTTTGAGCCATATCGTCAGATGACTGAAGCCGCTGCTATCGGAGAGTTGCGAAAACACAGACATAAAGGTCCAATCAGTTGCCGGGTCATAAAGATCGAGCAATGCTATCAATCCCGATGCTGAAAACCCGAAGGGGTTCGCCTTTTCGCGCGGTTTTAATCGCGCGCGAGTCGCTCGCGCCTTATCGCAAGCAACACGTTTTTAGCTTCTGATTAAAATAAAACTATGCTAGTAATTGAAAGTAATTTTTGGACCTTATGTCTAATCTTAAATACTAATAAAATAAAAATTTGTTTGTTTTTACAGTTAATCAATAAATTGATAATATATCGGAGAATTTGAGCAACAGAGTTAAGAAAAGAGTTTAAATGCTCCCAAATAACTAAGTTCTTAAAATGGAACAGACCAATAAAGCATCGTATGAAGAATTTAAGACAAAGGCTACAACAGTTAATGGAAATTTCTATTAAGTATTTAATTGGCATTGATAAGGAGCTTTCGTATTCAATAATTTTGTGCATTCTGATTAAAGGTTATTGTGCTCGAAAAATCTGTTATTGCTGAAATGTTCGACAAATGCGTTGAAACAATATTTTGTAAGTAAACTGTGGAATATTTCAACCTGCAGTCAATACTAAGTGTAAATACATTGACGTCCGAATTAAAATGCGTCATATTTTGTCCTATTTTTTCCATACCTGCATTAAAAGTTCACTGTTCTGTTTTCTACAGCAACCAATAAGTTATTCAGAATTAATATGTTTAATTAAAGTAATTAATTCAAAAACTAATCTGAAAATGGAAACTTTAAAAGTACACCTGCGAGTAAGTTTTCTTTAACTTTCAAAAGTATGCTAAATTAAGGTACTTCTTTTGGTAGTCATCGTATTGTACGGACCTAAAAGTATGCAACAAAATTTGTGTTAATACCAAACCCAAACAAGTTTTAATTTTTCAAATAAAATATAATTCTAATTTTATTTTTCTATGAAAAGTATTACAATTATTGTATAACTAAGCTCTATCTGCCTTAATATATTTTTCCTGTTCCTGGTTAAAAGCCTCGACTAGCTTGAACTTCTGAATCTTGCCAGAGGTTGTTTTGGGGAATGAATCTACAATGATCACATATCTGGGAACCTTGAAATGTGCAAGTTTGCCCTTACTATAAGCCTTTAGGGTCTCCGCTGTGAAGGAAGTGGGGTCAACGCCTTCTTCCAGGCGAACAAAGGCACAGACCTCTTCGCCCAGTCGCTCATCAGGTACTCCAATGACCTAGGAAATAAAATTAAAATTGAATTAAACAATATAAGATTAAAGTACATTTTTCTAAACCAAAACTCACATGAGCTTCAATGACCTGGGGGTGGGAGTTCAAAAAGTCTTCGATCTCTTTGGGGAAAATGTTTTCGCCTCCGCGGATGAGCATCTCCTTCAGGCGACCCACGATCCTTCCGTAGCCATTCTCCTCCAGGATAAACTGATCGCCAGTGCGCAACCAGCGATCCTTGCCAATGGTTTCCTTGGTTTTTTCCTCGTCACCATGGTAACCCAACATGGTGGTATATCCTCGGACACAGAGCTCTCCAGGTTGTCCAAAGGGCACACAGTTGCCCTCCGCATCCACCACCTTTGCTTCGATGTGATCCTGCAGATGACCCACTGAGTTCAGGACAATATCATTGCTATCACCTGGTCTGGATTGAAAGATCACAGCTGTGGTTTCCGTGAGACCATAGACACTGCGAACTGATTCCACTCTTAGGACATCTCGCACATCCTTGATGAGCTGCGGCGATACGATGGCTCCTCCTGTTACGGCCTTCTTGATCCTGCCCAGCGGCACTTGCAGTTTCTTTTGCGTGTTGACCAAATCCACATACATGGTGGGTGTGCCATGGATCATGGTACACTTTTCCTTGACAATCGCAGCCAGCGAATCCTTGGGATTAAAACCAGGACAGGGAAGGACCATTGTGGCTCCCTTGGTCAGTGCTGCCATGATGGTGATGATCACTCCGAAAGCATGGAACATTGGCACCTGAACACAAATCCTTTCGCCCTCCAATTCATTGCGATTTCCAACGTGGATGCCATTGTTCACGAAATTGAAATGGGAAAGCACAGCCGCCTTGGGATTTCCCGTGGTTCCCGATGTGAATTGAATATTACACGCTGACTCTGGCTGAATGCTCTTCTGGATTTGAGCCACCTCTGCCCGTTCCGATTGGTTGGCCAGATCCAGTAAGTTATCAAAACGAAAAGCCCCTTTCAGGCTATCATTGCCATCGATTATTACGGATTTCAGATGGGGGAACTTTTCACTCTTGATTTTGCCAGGTTCCGCATCCGATATTTCCGGGCAGATACTCTTTAAAATCTCGTAGTAATTCTGGCTCTTAAAGGATTCCGGTGCAATAATGGCTTTAATATCAACCTTGTTGAGGCAATAGGCCATCTCAGGTCCTTGGAAAGCGGGATTCAGACCCACAGAAGTGAGTCCTGCTCGAGCTGCTCCCATCATTCCCAGATACCAGTGCATGTAGTTGGGAGCCCACAGACCGATGGCATCGCCCTTTTGGAGACCCAACTTCCTGAATCCTGCCGCCAAAGCATCCGCCTCCTTCAGTAAACTCTTGAAGGTGTACCTCTTTCCCTCCTTACAGGATACAATCGCTTCTACATCTCCATATTTAGCAGCTGTCAAGTCCAACTGCTGACCAATGGTGTGATAAACCAGAGGATCCTTGCCCACATAATGCATATGGCTGATCAGGACAGGCATCGAAGTGGAAATACTATTATAAAAAAATTAAATGGTACGTTATAGAATTTATGTTTATTATACCCTTGCAGAGCAGAGGGTATTATAATTTCAGTCAGAAGTTTGCAACGCAGTGAAGGGAGACACCTCAGACCCCATAAAGTATATATATTCTTGATCAGCATCACCATCTGAATCGAAATATGTATGTACGTCTGTCCGTCTGTCCGTCTGTCCGTCTGTCTGTCTGTCCGTCTGTCCGTCTGTCCGTCTGTCCGTCTGTCTGTCTGTCCGTCTGTCCTCCTGTCGGTTTCTATGTAAACTAGTCTCTCAGTTTTGAAGCTATCTTGCTGAAACTTTCCCAAAAGTTGTGTAGTTATTGCACGCAGTATATAAGTCGGAACGAGCCGGATCGGCCGACTATATCGGATAGCTCCTATACGAGAGAATGAAGTAAAAAATTCTCACGCCGTTGTTTTTGATCAGATCGACTTGAATTCTTCAAGATGGCGTTTTTTAACTGTTATTGAATTTCGGATTAAATTTGAACAAAGTCGGATAACTCTATCATATAGCTGCCATAGGAGAGATCGAAAAATATATATAGAATTAATGGAAATAAATTGATAGCATCATTGTTTTTTATCCCACGAGCATGATTTTTTGAGTATCAAGTTTATTAAATAGCCTTGATTTAAAAAAAAAATTTCATAAAAATCGGACAACTATATCATATAACTGCCATAGGAAAGATCGAAAATTCTATATAGAATTAACGGAAATAAAATGATAACATCGTTATTTCTCATCAGAAAATCATGATTTTTGGAATATAGAGTTTTCTAACGACTCTTGAATAGCCAATAAAATTTCATTAAAATCGGACAACTATATCATATAGCTGCCATATGAACAATAGTCAAAAATATGGAAAACTAATAGAAAAGTCGTCGTAGCTTCGATGTTCTTTAGCCTTTGTGTATTCTGTTCGAAATATTTGATGACTGCAAGGGTATATAAGCTTCGGCTTGCCGAAGCTAGCTTCCTTTCTTGTTTTTTTTTCATCTACATGTAAAAATTCTATGAAATAGGTTTACATTTTTGCTAAGTATTAAAGCTTTTAGCAAGTGTAAAAGCTTAACACTAGTATAGTGTTTAGACACACACATCTGTATGTATATTTATAATCATTTTATTGTTTTTGGTGAGATTATTCTCTCGGTTTGTCGGCTTGTTTTATAGATTCCCAGATTAAAAGAGGCGCGTGCCAAAAGCCATTACAGAAAACATAATACCTCGGCTTATCTTCACTATTGCATAGACTTGTAATTACAATCATGAATTATCTTTTCTAAAGTGTTTTAGATAGATCATAACAGAGCACTTTGCCTTCGTGGTTGTCATTAATTATCAGCCAGTGGAAAATTCTGCTTGCGATTTGCTTATCTTTTTAGAAATTCATCTAAATTAGAAGTCGATAATTAAAACAACCAACCGTCCGGGTTTATATTTGGACCACACTTAAGAGCCACGCCTTCTTCAAGTCAAGTTGATGACTTGCCAAAGTTAGTATAGTTAACTAATTATTCTAGTCGACTGTACCAGCTATCTGGATTTGAAAACATTACGTAATTATAAAGACGGGGGATAAAGGCGATTATTGTGGCATGTTCTAATCAAAACTGCGCAAAAAAGCAGTGGAAAATTCCTATTCAATTTGGGTAAGATATATTGCAACAACGACCTTGGCCAACTTTTTAGAGTTTAAGGACCCTTGAAGGTCCTGCTTACCTTCGCATGGAGTTGAACACACATCTTTGCCTAAGCAAAAACTTGGAAAAGGTCTTTAAATTCCTATTCATCTTGCTGATTATCACAGTTGCTGTTTTTAATATTAATACTCAAATATTACAATTTCATAATATGCTTAATTTCACTTTTCTTGTCTTAGTTTATAGGTGTTATGTTTTTTTTTGCAATATTATCACAATTATTAGTTGTAGGAAAAAGAACGACCGCAGTCTGTCAAGTTCGAACAGAAACTGAGTCTTATCATCGTTTTTTCAGCTGGCGTCGCTGGGGCTTTTCGTTTTATAAACTTTTTTATTTTCTTTGTAGCCAAACAAGATCATTGCCGGCATTTGTTTTGCTTTGTGCTTTTTACACTTCTATTTTGCTTGTGTTTTTATTTACCATTGGTAGCACGTGTGGCTGTGAGTTATCACTGTGTGTGCTTTATTTGTATTTGAATGGTTTAACCGGTAGCTTTTTGTGGTCAGGGTCGTTGTTAAATGGGGTAAATATGGGAATTAAATTTGAAAGCATGCCAATATTGAAATATCTGCTGTCAATTTCAAAAAATAATAATTTATAATGAAAATTGTACTATTATAATGATGATTGTGTTATACATAGTTACCCCTCTTAAGTATTTTTTACTCCGCCTTTGTTAATGTTTGAAGCTTTTTGTTGGTGATAAGCAGCTTTTGATCTCCCAAAAAATATTCACTCACAACATTTTTTGACTATTTGGCTTAAGCGAAATTAATGTTTTATGAAAGTCTGTTCCTAAGCTTTATGCTTTATGTTTTGTTGTGATAAAAGTCATAACATTATGAGCTGCTTCGTTAGATAAGATTTTGTAAGATAAGATAAGTTTAAACAGAAAAGAATATATGAGTTTAAGATAAGTTAAACCTTTAATTTCTTTATTCCTGATAATTTATCAGTCATAATTCCATTGATCTGATTTCACTTACTCTTTTATGTTTTATATGTTCTTATCTCAAACTAAAAAAAATTCTTATATTGTTGTTTATATTGTTCTATTGGCATTTTCTTTTGCTTAGAACATGAAAATCACAAGTCAAAAGAGGCGAAAAATTTCCAGGCACTTTGGGAAATCCACGGCCACGCCAAAAGGATGATCAGTTTCAATTACCACTGCTTTTCCCATTTGGATTTCCCACCGGCATTTAACGAGGCGTCGGTGGAAATCCCAACGAAACTTATGGGCTCTGTCCAGATTTTGGCGCCAAAAAAGGCGGTGTTACCCGGATTCAACAATTGTAAACAAACGCTTGCGCGGATGTTGCCTTTCTCGTCCTTCTGTTTTTCGCGGGAGCGTCTTGCGTCCTTCGAGTTTGGAGCTTCGTCGTGTTGCCAAAGGTTACCAGCCGAGTGGAGGGCCGAGTTTTTCCGCTCGAGCGCCTTGGGAAAACTCGACTTTTCAGCAGTGAGACTGGCAAATCAGAAACTCGCAGACGCTCGTGGCAAACGGTTGATTTTTGTTCCGTGGCTCCAACCAAAAAAGCCAGAAATCCAGTCTAAAGTTGGGGACTCTTTTGGCCAAAAGAAACAACAAAAAAAAAATAGAAAAAGGAAGAAGAAAATAAAAGGGGGCACTGCCGTTAACGCACACGCAACCGAAGCCATAAAGGGGCTAAACATATAAATTTGTGTAGTAAAAGTGAAGAAAGCGAAAGAATCAAAGTGGAATAATAGCGAGCGGATGTGTTGGAGCCTTTTTCGGTGTGTGTGTGCCAGTGTATGTGTGTGTGTGTGAGTGTGTCTGTTGCTGTTGCCAATGAAAATGCAAATTGTTGGTAACAAATATTGGTAAAATGCGGAGGCCGTAGGAATTTGTGCAATGCGAGTGCGAAGCAAAGGAGCCCGAAACTATGCAGCTAAAAACCCGCCATACCCCGCACCCGAATCGAATCAATAATAATACAATAACCCAGCGGTATTACACGGATAATGGCAGCATAAACCATTTACAATCTGCCAGTGATTCCGCTTAACAATCGAGAACCCCCCACCACCCCCTAAAAATAAAAATCCCCAATGATCAGCGGCTGATTGCGAGGGACATAAGCCACCAGATATTCCAGGATGTCGCAGCCGCGCGGAGGGCGTGGCGGTGGTCGTGGCGGCGGCGCTGGGGGCGCCGGCGTTGGCCGCAAGACCCCCTCATCGCTGACCGGTCCGCCGGATGATTCGGCCACGCCCAGCGAACGGGCGACGCCCGCCAGCAAGGCCGACTCGGATCCCAAGGACGACAGCTCGAGCAACGGCGACAAGAAGGACATGGACCTGTTCCCCGCCCCCAAGCCCCCGAGTGCCGGCGCCTCCATCCGGGACACGGCCAACAAGGTGCTCGGCCTGGCCATGAAGAGCGAGTGGACGCCCATCGAGGCGGAGCTCAAGAAGCTGGAGAAGTACGTGGCCAATGTGGGCGAGGATGGCAACCACATCCCGCTCGCCGGAGTCCACGACATGGTGAGTACTGTACAGTGAAGTGCCGAGGCTTCTCCCGCCCATTTCGATGAATTTGTAAAATCAATTGCGAACCGGAGCGAGGAACAGGAAGTGGGAATAAGTGCAGGAACAGGTCTTACACTCAAAAAATAAATATATTTTTCCAAAAACAACCTTAACAGAAGAAGAGATTTCAATTGATAATTTTTTTTGTTAAAAATATAGATTCCATGTAGTGATAAAATTGAGCTTTTCTTTCCTAAAAAGTCAGATTTATTTTAATGTGAAATAGTTGTTTACTTACAGAAAATAAATTCAGGTATTTTAAAGTAGTTTTCAAATCTTTTTGAAAACGTAAATTACATGAGTATAATAATAAATTTAATTATTTTTGTTTTTCATTATATTTAAAATGGTATTAGATTGTAGTGAGTATCCCAAATTATACAAAATATTTACCGAAGTGTAAGCGATGTACAAACGTCGCCCTTATCAACGTCGGCGGCATTTTCCCATTTCTGGTTGTTTACCAGCCAAAATAACGACACACAGAGCCCGGGAGCCAAAGGCCAGAGAACATACAATAAGCCAGGAAACAGAGGCCAGAAGGCAGAAGGCTAAAAAGCCAGAAAGCCAGAAAACCAGAAAACAGAGAAGAGCGAGTGTTATTTGATAGCGCGGCCCAAATGTTTTGGCTGCCAAGGCGATGGCTTTGGTGGCTTTCAGGTTTTTGGATTTCGGAGCCGGAGTTCCGGGTGTCCTGCCACAAGTTGCGCTGACTACCCGACCGATAAACTCATAAAACATCGAAGAATTGAAGCGCTTCGATTTCAATTTACCATAAACGGTATGAAACGGAGAAGTCGTTGACATAAAATTAACGTTGCACCGCTAATGAAATGCGGGGAGGTGTGCGGCAAAAAAGGGTGGAATTGGGTGGAAGTATCCTGTATTTCTGTATTACTGGGTGGTACTTTCGATCCCAACCGCCAAATCGGGTTGTCTGCCAGACTAGACTGAGGTCGAGACGATATTTGCATAAATATAGCCCAGAGTTGAGCTATTTTTGCCTTGATTGCTTCCGCTTTTTTCTGGGCTGGGGTCCTCATTCGGTTCTTGACTTGATGGGTTTGCTCTTGATTTCGTTTTAATAACGAGAGAACGAGTTTATAATATGGAACGCAGCTTATCAGAACAGAAAGCCTATCGCAATAATGAGTAGTTTATATAATATGATTTGAATACCTTCCCCAAAGACCCATTTATATTATTATCGTTGAGTTTGTCGTTTCTCTTTAAAAATGTTTTAAAATAGTTTAAGTCGGGTGATGGCGGTAATTAATACAATTTATAATTAGTTAGCATACCTTCTACGAAACATTTAAATATTGCAAAACTGGTTCCACAATTGATAATTGCATTTAAATGCAGTATTTCTTATCAATGTGTAAAAATAGAGGCCAACTATTAGTTAATCGATTCACGTGTAATCGCAAGAGTTGTAAAGTTATATTAATCAGAATTTGTGATTAAAATCCAGTATAAGGTGGATTTGTTTTGTTTATAATACCTAATTAGCTTTCCATAGTATAAATGTATAATGTACAGATTATTAGTAACAGATAGGAACTAAAAATCTCATTATCAAACCATTTAATGTGATGATGAATAAACTATTAAGTAATCTTCGTTGAATAAATTCTGTTATTTTTCTATTTTAGAATACCGGCATGACGCCGCTGATGTACGCCACGAAGGACAATAAGACGGCCATAATGGATCGCATGATTGAGCTGGGAGCCGATGTGGGAGCCCGCAATAATGTGAGTCTTGACCGGGAACACACTAGGCATAATTTAAAGCCCCTTAGCCAACTCCCCATTGTGTTGGAGCCAAATATAGCAGCAACCCAGCTGTTTAAGCGAACTCCACGAACAAAAGCCGCTAAAAATGTGTCAAATCAATAAAAACCGCATAATTAAATCTCGAGCGAGGGCGTCGGTGGGTGAACCCACCGTGCACCCACTTCTACGCACGATTCTCACGCACCATTCACCCCCGTCAATGCTTCAATAGCTCCGTTCCTCAATGGGTCAACCGAACCGAGCTTGGCCAATGGTCGTCCCACGGGTAGTATACTTGATTTGACTCCAGTTGAGTGGAGTTTTTCAGCACGAATGGGAATTTCCTTGGGGTTCTTTAAAGGAATAAACCAAAAAACTTTTTCACTTATAGTTTTTTTTATTTAAATAGAGTTTTTATTTAGGATTTTTTTTATTAAATTAGGGTTAAGGTTTTAATTCTTCATTGTACTCTTAATTAGAGACTGAAAGGTCATCGATAATGTTAATCCTGATTTCTTCAGTAATCACCCATCATTATTATCGCCAATTCTTGTTTCGATGTCAGCAAATGAAGTGAGCCAAGTTGGTCATCCGCCATTAGGCCAAGTTGCTAACAATTGGTCGAATCCGCTGACCAGTTTCCTTCGCATGCCGCAATTACTTAGCAAAATTCACTCGAAGGCGGTTTTTTGGCTGACCATTCACATGTCCTTAAGAATACGCAGCGCACTTTATTTCGGGTCTTGCGGCGATAAAAATCCTTGACCTAATTACAAAATAATTGTTGCCAAACCAGCGCAGACATGGCGAATTGAATTACCAAAACAAACACAGAGAGTTCAATTTGCTCGCCCTCCTTGAGAATTTTCCCCCAAGTGGACGATTGTTTGCCTGAGTTAAAGAGTGTGTAGGGAAATG